TTTTTGCTTTCTCTTTGCCTAGAAAGACCTGGATTCTAAACTGGTTGAAATCGATCATGGGAAGGATGTTTCTTGTAGTTTATCCTGGAAACCTTTGGTGTCTTAGCTTCAGTAGATACCTGAATCGTGTTGTTCCGTTTATGTGGAGTAGTTTTGTTACGTATGCGGCTTTTAGTTCCACTGATCGCTTCCCTAACGTATCACGTAAAGGGATGGGATCGGTAGTAGTTTATCTCTTACACGTAGAGATTAGGCTTTGGAGCTAGTTAATGGCTTAGTAGTAGGTATCAGTTTAGTGATTTGGGAGGGGTTTGACTGCGTATCGAGATACGCGAACAGTTATTAGCTGCAGGACAGTCATTTATAGATTATTTAAGTTATGAGCCTGCATTACTCTTGTAAGTTCGTCAATACTTAAAGGTAATTTCCGACACTATCTTAACATTTCAAAGTTTAGGATTTAAAATGATAGTGTGAAAAGAACTGATGAACTTGGTAGCCGTTTGCTGACTGCCAAAACGAGACAAGATCCCTGGACAGCAATCCTGGTGTTCTTCAAAGCGTCTAAGAAACTTGCATGGGATGTCTGACATATTAGCAGCATTTTAAAGCACTTGCTTGAAAATGTTTGTCGCCATTTTATGAGGATGTTAGACATTATCGCTCCCTGACCGGCTGCTATGTGCTTAACAACTTCAGAAGAAACATGACTGGTTACATCCTCCACCTTACATAGGACATCTAGACCGCATGAGTGGTGCTAAGCTTTGTGGTCAATAGCTTTAAAGGCACTACGTCCTGCATACCACCTAGTTCCGCTCTGTTGAAAGCAATTGCATCAACTCAGAGAATCTTAGAGCGTATTTCGTTCATTTGAGACTATATATCTGGGAATGGCAACGAAGTCTGTGTTGAGGACTTCCAATATGCATTCAGTTATCCGTACAACACTCGGTGGATGTTTTACAGCTTCCATTTGTATACCAATGCTACCCACGGTTTTTTTTGAGCATTTCTAATCCTTTATTACAGAACCCTTCATAGGGCTGTTTGTCAGTTTTAATCGTAGGTGCATTGACCACTTTCGCTTAGATGTCGTTATTGTTGAAGTACATATTAGTTTCATTAGCTATCGAAAGCAGGTTGAGGGTATTAGTTTCGTCACTGCCGATCTCGCTAGGGCTTTCACCAGCACGTTCCTCCGAGTGTCCTCCAACAGTTTGTCGGTACTTTATCGAGTTACAGTGAGGTCAGCGAACTCCAACCAGTAGGATAGATTTATTGGTACGAAAGAGGGTCGTGTGGAAAGCCAGCTATAAATGCTTGCACAGCAGCTTGTTTAGGCCGTGGAGATGTTTCAGTTCCACACAGTCAGTAACTTATGGGTTCCTTATATGAGGACCCTTGGTGAAAACGGTGCGAAACAACAGAGTTAAAAGGTGGAACAATATACCGAGAGTAGGATGTTATAATCAGACCCCAGTTATCAGTAAAATGGACTATGAGCCAGTAGCCTATGCTAAAAGCAATGGTTTTCCATGTAAAGATTCGGCTTTTCCTTAAATGCGACTAAAGGAGGAGCTGTTAACACTCGTTCTCGTAACTCGCTCCAGTCATCGACCACTTTATGGGAGAAGAGGTACTGTACTGAAAAATGATTCAGCCATGGTTTTTGGATCACTTTTGACGACCTTGACGATAACCCGCACTCGTCACTACGGTTGGTCCTCCATGTCAGTGTATAGCAGTGATGACCCCGATCATCTTTGGTATTGCGTTAACGTAAAGAAGGAAGAGCATTGGTTCAAGGATTTTCCTCCAGGGAACAAAATTGGCAAAAGGTTGCCAGTCAGACAATATTCCACTGACCCTAACTCTTTACTATCTCTTGTGTAGGAAATCCCTGATTCAGGTATGAACTGCAATCCAACTAACGAGTGTACGGATTTCTTTCAGCGACCTAATGTATGAAACTCTATTAAAAGCCCCGTTGAAGTCAATGAAAACCACATCCGTAGGGAACTTGTCTTTCCTAGTCCCAACCGATTCCTCCTTCTCCAGTAACAAGTCGGTCAGACAACATCGTTCAACGGAAAAACGATGATTCACCTGTATCAGTAGACTGTGCAGTTCTTAGCGCCTGGATAATTAATCATGGATTGACTTCTCCATTATTCTAATCACGATGCTGGTAAAACCATCGGGTCGGTAACTGGTAACAAGTTTTTTATCATCTCGTTTAAACTCAGGACTTGTCATAGCATCCTTCCAATCCCTAGGTAACTATGTCCGAGATAAGGACATGTTGAATAACACCGTTAAAGGTGCACAAACAATATCGACCAACAGCAGCAGATTCATGGTCCAGGCAACAGGACTTTCCAGATGATTAATCGGAGGAGTATCCCTTCCATGATCTCAGTAGGTTCCGTCGGAAGAACATTAGGAACCCTAACAGTGTCCAGAACCACGTGAGGATCATCAGTGGGAAACTCTGGGTGAAAGTAGTCAGGCAGACTCTCCGAGCTTGCTAAGCCCGATTCTGTCATATTATTAGCCTCCCTACAAGTAGGAAGACAAAAATATACTGACTTCTACTCCTGCTGACAGAATCTGAATTTGTCATCATGACTAATGTGACCATCAATAATGACAGTCTAGACCTACTTCTGCGTTGCTTCTCAGAATACTTGAAGTTGGTTACCCAGTAACCGAGAAGACTAGGTTCAAAGGTTATCTATTGATATTCCATGGAGGCAGGTCCAATGAATCTCCAAATCTAGGCGCCGTGAAATCAGATGAGCCCCGGCAGGCGAATTTAAAAATCATCAGGATGGTTCAGGTTGCAGAGTTGAAGGAATGACTTAAAGCACTTGCGTAACTTCCACACAACATGAACGTCAGAAACCAGGAAACCCCCTGCGTGAGCTCAATCCGATGCTGATTGATAACTCGCTTCACGTAAGTGACAAGATGCTGAATTCCATCGGAACAAAGCATCCTGTGGTAACAACATTACAACACCGCATAACCAACTTTATTCAGTGGCATTATTTTAAATACAAAGGGCATATGGGGGCCACTCAAGTGTTGGCAACAGCTGGAGAATAATTTCCGATGTCAAAGGGTGGTTTGGCTGTACAGAAGACCACTGGAGACTGTATTCATCGTCGAAAAAAGTGCTCACCCACAAAATATACTTTTGCCACCTTTACCACCGACCACAGTAAAGGATTCCCATCCATCTCGTTTATTTCAGGCGAAACGGTTCATCAGAATTTCAGCTATCCACAGCAGAAGTTAGGCGAATCATTGTGTGTTTATGCGCATGGGGGTAATGACTCGGAAGTGGGAGCAAGTAGCATCCAACGATCACTGGGATTAACTGGAAGTTGCTGGATTTCGCAACTAGTCGGCAGATTGCATAAGTTTTTCCTGATTTAATTGAATCAAGCATACAAAACTGGGAAGTAGAGGCTTTTTTAAAATTTTAAAGTCTCTGGAGAACAAGAAGGACTTGCTATATCATATTGCAATCCAGATGTCATTGTCACAAAGAGGAAACGGTAGGCTTGGGTAAGAAGGGATGGAATCAAATTTTATTATTGTGATCGTTGTAAAATAACAAGGTTGAGGGAGAAAACGAGGGGCCTTTGGATTCAGATGATACAAATTCAGAATTTTACCTCAAAGGCACACGGTGTACCACACTTTGTGCGTAGACAACTAGGTGCCCTCATGCCAGACGTCTTTCTGAAGCTCTGCAAGCCTAACATACAGCCATAACGTCTTCGCCCCCCCTCAACTGAAAAGTGGCACGAACCTACCGGAGAAAGTCCAGAGGCGAGCCACAAAAGGGGTTGTTGGGATGCAACGAAAACCATATGAGGACAAACTGGAAAACCTAGGCCTATACCCTCTTAGCTACCGAAGGTTGCGAGGTGGCTCGATAATGGCCCGCAAAATATTGAATAACCCAAGTCACCCGAACACAGTAATACTGCCGAGTGACCATTATGGAGATCCTAGAGGAAACCCAGAGAGAATAGCCCACCTGAGATCGAAAACTCATGTGCGTTCACACTTCTTCTCCCTCCGGGTCTGAGGGTGATGGAACGCACTACCAGTAGAGGTGGTCTCTGCCCCAACTATTGAAAGCTTCAAGAAGAAGCTAGACAATCACGCAGAGACTCACGGTCTATCCACATATAGCTGGAATACTAACTAAACAGAAGAAATCAACTGATGCCGCGCCACCCCAACTGGTTTAAGTCTACAACCAGTCTTGTTTCTATCGTAACCATTTAAGCCCTTGTCATTACTTCTACTTGCTATGAGTTAGCCTTTCTTTACCTAAGTTCTTCATACCTTTGCACCCCTCTCCTTTCTTGGGTGTAAGCTGATTACTCCATTAATTCACTTTTCTTTTCCTTTTTACCCACAACTTTTCCTTTCTAGGTTTTCTCTTCACTGCCCCTAGCACCCTCCAGCGACCAGTCTGAACAACTGTCTGGGAACTCGATATCTTAAGAAGCCAACGGTACCATAGTTCAAGGCAAACTGATCAACACTTAACATCCTGTTCTGTATACCACAGCTATGGCGGACGAGTGGGTGAACCTACTGCATCGGAATCCGTCAAAGACCTGGGACCGTCTCGCAAGACCAAGAAACGAGCAAGAAGAAATCGACTGGTTTAAAGGAGCCCGTTAAAAAGATATTGGAACCTTAGCCTTATTCTGCATCAAAATATACTATTTACCGAATCTGTCATTTTTATCAGAGTACGGAGAAATAGTAACAGTTCTGACTATTCTGAGTCCAGTATGAAATATAAACTTGTTGTACTTCGTCCTGAAGACCCACCACTTAATTGTTGAAACCGTTTGACTGTGTTTAGGTGGCCTACAACCTTGAAGGTTCTTTTGTTTTTCGGCATTCACAGGGTTTTTCATTTCGATAGGTCGTTTTGAAACATTCCAGTTTCAATAAGTCTTTTCATGATGGATGAACCAAATGAAGTAAATATGGACACTGGAATAGAGAGTGGAACTGCTTTAAATGAAGCCATTGAATCCTTAAAACACCAGGTTAGCTTTTTTAAAATAATGAAAGTTTTTTTACCAAATAGTTAGAGAAAAATCCTTTCGATTACAATGCACACACTCGTCTCATAGAATGTCTAAGGAAGACTAATGACTCTGAGCGAGTCAAATATGCAAGGGAACGTATGCACGATATCTACCCACTTACCCCAGGTAAATTTTGTCAAACCTCTTATCGTTTAAGTGCACTTCTTTTGTAACAAAACTTCTACCTTTGAATAAGTTCACTCAAGCTGCGTTCTAGAATTTTTTTCCGGGCTTAACGAAGTCTGTCCTTGGTTTCATATCAAGTGTGCTACCGGTAGCACTTCTAATTGGCCAATTAGAAGTTACAACAGATTCCACTGTATTTCATTTCTACCGACCATTTAAAGCATTTTTTGTGTGATAGTTCAAAGAGGGTAGAGACTTAGAGTCATGAAGTTTATTCGATGTCAAAGATTATGTTCTTTAAACGTTTATTCCTAGACTGGTGTAAAGCTTTTTGCATATCTCTTTACTCTCAAAATCAAGCATGCTTACATAGTTTAAATCACTCCTTTGTGTATATTTGATAAAAGACAACTCTAGCTGAGGTCGTAAAACGACGATATGCTGCAGCTTTATTTGTATATACTTTCTAGGAAGATCCAGTTCATCAAATGTCCTCATAAAAAGAGGTGGTACCAATTGGTTGCTTAAGAAGTTTCAACGTTGACCATTTGATGAGACAAGCTTTGTTTAACGTTAATTTTGTCCAACAGTGGTTCTTAATCCTAAGTAACCAGGGATAATCAATCCTTTAAGTAGGGATGGTTGAGACACTAACACTTAGTTGTTGGTAAGAACCTACTGTTTCAATATGTAGTCATTTTCCGCATGATAAAACACAGGAACGAAACTTCACTTCAAATGATATTACCTTTCAACTCATTAATCTGAAGCAAGCGATAAGTGACAACATAATACAGAATTATTCCGGGTTTTCTGTTCTTGTGGCTTGAAACCTGAGGTTGATTACATAGTCACTTCACAGCTGGAAGTTACTTCTCTGGAATGAGTTCTTGTGTTTGGGGGTTAGTCACTAAAAGCTGAGCTTTATCTATTGAACTTTGAGTGTTAGGATTGGCGTTCAACTCATGCAACTGGTAGGTCCCACTTACAACACTAGTTTTACAGGTTATCTGTGTTGTGTGATAACATTTGAGGACTGAACGACTTAAGTTAACTTCATGGTTTATTATAGCGATTACGCACCAATTCGCTCCTATTCGGTCGTTTCGCTATGTAACGAAATACGTTATCATGAACTGTTTTTTCGATTGCAATTAGCACACTAATTAGATTGATGGAATAGTGATTTTATATCAGATTTTGGTAATTTGCCTCAAACGTAAAAGTAGTTTAGAAATTTTAATTTTTGTAACTAATGCTCAACTGAGAAAAACTTATCTATCGCTATAATCCAGCTTTTCCCCCTGAAAACCAGTTCTTCCTTGATGCACGGCCATGTCAGGGGAGTTGATTAGATAACGGTGAGTTAACTTAAGCAGACTGGTCTCCATCACTGATCATATCAGTTTATTAAGTGAACTCCCTTTTTGTAACTGTACTAGATTCGGCTTGCTAGAGATATCTCATGACCTAACAATCACGTCGTACGACACTTGGAGACTGCTATCGTTCTTCAAGTTAAGAGAACCCTTCTGGTTTTAGTCCTTTACAAGGAGGTTTTGATCAAGTCTTCATTTCTCGATAGGTTCCGGAAAAGTGCATATCAGTGCCCGATGCTCCCTGTGCTTATTGATTTGATGGTGACAGTATTTTGCATTGTTCCCAAAGTAGCATGTCCACACCTTGATTTACGGAGAAAATATCGCCAAAGTAATGTGATGGGCTGTGGACTATGGTCAAGTCAAATTCTTCTAGCATGTTTGAATTCTTATACAACAGTGGCGTAAAAGTTCTTTCTCCTGTAATGGAAATGTTTCCGCTACTTTAATAGTATTGTGTTAGATATCTCTCTAACATTACATGGAATCCTGTAGTGATAATCTTACATAAAAATCTAATATTGTAGTACGCAATTGCAGTCTTGATATCGTGTTTCTAAGAGTCTTAAAACTTTTCTGTTGCTACATAGCCTTGAGATTTGAAAGGCATTGGTAAACGTTTTGGAAGAAAGTCAGTTAATATTAGTCTAATCTATGCATTCAAATTATTTCGGAAAGCTCATTTAAGTGATGTGTAAGCCTATTGTATTAATACCTCATGTATTATCTAAGTTGATTCATTGTATGGTCAGTTCATGGGGATCATCTTCAAAATCATTAGACAGTCACCTTCTAAGCAGACTGTTACCTACATACTAAATGCCATAGAAAGCTACATTCACTTCACCTAATAAGACAGAAATGAAGGCATAGTTTTGCTTGTGTTATGTTCTCTAAGTCGGGTCGCTTAATCGTGAAGCTTTCATCGTCTTTCTAGACGACATCATCAACACCAACTTCAGTATGAAGTGAGCTGTCAATATCTCTCCATGAGTGATTTAGTAGCTTGCCTTGACGATGTGGTCTGTGATTGGTTGTTTCCTTTGATTGTTGTGTCATTGACTGTTTAGATTTTCCTGCTGACTGTCCTTCTGCTTGACCTCTGACCTTTCTGTCGTTTATCATCTTATTGGTTGATAGATTGGGTCTATGTCTATACATCTGTTGATTGCTGACTGACCAGAATTCCAAGCTTCTAGGAATTCTCTGGTAGTTTTTGCGTTTCCTCTGTCCGAAATTTCTACATTGTCGAAATTGAATTCATGTCCATAATTATCCACATTCATTGAAATGAGTGATGAAATGTCGTGACGTTTAATAGCCGATTGGTATTCATGTAGACGAAGGTGAAGAGGGCGGCCGCTTTGTCAAATGTAGTGTTGACTACAGTTATTGCAGTTGATTTTGTAAATGATAATCGGTTTGTCTTCTTTGGTTGTTGCATCCTTTGGTCTGCATTATAGTGCTTGCAGGGAATTTGTTGGTTTATGAGCCACACCATTCCAAGTGGTCTCAGTAATCTTGTCGTGATTTTTGATATATTCTTTATATATGGTAGGATGTTGGGTTCATTGATTTCTGTGGATGACTTTGTAGTTGATGCTGTACAGGATAAGCATCTTCTGATAAAGTTTCTTGGGTAACCGTTCTTCTTCTTTAGGATGGACATCAAGTAATTTTCTTCGTTTCTCCGTGTTGTTGTACCGCAGTGTGTTCTCGCTCTTCTGAATAGAGTCTGCACGCAACCGATCTTGTGGGTTGTTGCTACTGCAGTTGAGGATTTGGTCATTGTATGTTGGCTTCCTGTACACTTGGATTTCCAGCTTTCCGGCATTTGTTCTACTGACTAGAACATCCAGGAATGGTTGTTTGGTTCCTTCTCCATTGTGAACTTTATGTCACTGAGAACGTTGTTGATCAAACTGTGGGTGTTTTCTACATCATCTTTTTTAGTGATGACAAAAGTGTCGTCCACATAGCGAATCCAGAATTTTGGTTTAATTACAGGTAGGATGATAGCTTCCAGTCTCTGCATCACCGCTTCTGCAATTAGTCCGGATATCCGTGATCCCATTGGAGTTCCATTTATCTGTTTGTATATCTTGCTGTTGAATTGGAAGTATTTTGTCAGACAAAGGTCAATGAGTTCCATCAAACTTAAACATTTAAGTTTTGTGCGTTCTGTAAGGCGTGTCTTCATTGAGCAGGAGAGATATAGTTTCCTTGACCGATTGGGGTTCGATGAATGTGTACAGTGCTGTGACATCAAAGGATACCATTAATTCATCGTTTTCTATGTTAATGCTTTTGGTCTTTTCTAAGAATTCCGTTGGTGACTTGATGGAATATCCGCAAGATTGGACGAGGTGTCTCAGTTTTCTCGAAAGTTCTCTTGATATGTTGTATTTTGGAGTTTTTGGAAGTGAGACAGTTGGTTGTAGAGGGATGTGTGGTCGTGTAGTTTTAGTCTGCCGTAGAACCGAGGAAGGACAGGTCCTTTTGGTTTCATTCTCCGTTTGTCTTGCTTTGTTATTTCTTCTGCCTTGAAGGGTTTGTTCAAGGTTTTATTGATCTGGTTGTCGAACTTCTGGATAGGGTTGGTTTCAAGTAGTTGATACATACATTTTTGTCTTTGAGTAATTCCTATGCTTTCTTGATGTAGTCTTTTGTGTCCATGATTACCGTAGTGCGTCCTTTGTCTGCTGGAAGTATAATGATATCTTTCCTATTTTTCAGTCTTTTTAATGTTTTCTGTTCTTGAGTATTCATTTGAGCGTGGTGTCTCATGTGCCTGGTCAGTGGGACGATTGTTTACCATATTTATTGTCGAGTGACTTCATTTAATCCTGATGTTTTAAGTGACGATTCTAATGCCGCAAAAAATTCTGGTTTGGAGGCATCTCTTGTGTTGTAATTCAATCCTTTTTGAAGAAGTTCTTCCATTTCTGTAGGTGGTTTTTTTGATAAGTTGGCAACACAGTTGTTCGTTTCATCTGTTGAAGGTACTCCTGAGATTTTGAGCAGCTTTTTCCTGAGGACGTTTCTTCGTTGTTGCTTGTATCGTCTGCTTGATTTTTCAATTGCAAGTGTCAGCGTTGTCATGTGTTGTGTCGTGAGTGTACTTTCTAGTTTTGCCTTTTGATTGTTAATCATTGATTGATATTTCCGGATCCGATGATGTGCATCTGAGACCATCAGTTGTACCATTTGTCTTCCACTTTGTTCAGCTATTTTCCATCATAGTGGACAGTTAATCGGTGGTCTATATCTGACACTCTTCGGCAGAACATCCTGACGTAGACACTTATGGAGAAAGAATAGTTATAGAAGCTTGCCTTTTGGAGAAATCCTCCTATCTTTTAACAAAGTGGAGCGTGTTACGCTCGTATAATTTTGAAATAGTGGAGAATATTTGTAGCTCAGGTGGATGGTCTTGGTTGTATTGTGTTCTCCGAACTGGGTTGTTTAATCGTGAAGCTTTCATCGCCTTTCTGGATGACATCATCAACGCATTGAACAAGGTGGTCGCCCTCTTCACCTTCGTCTACATGAATACCAATTGGCTATTAAACGTCACGACATTTCATCACTCATTTCAATGAATGTGGATAATTATGGACATGAATTCAATTTCGACAATGTAGAAATTTCGGACAGAGGAAACGCAAAAAATACCAGAGAATTCCTAGAAGCTTGGAATTCTGGTCAGTCAACAATCAACAGACGTATAGACATAGACCCAATCTATCAACCAATAAGATGATAAACGACAGAAAGGTCAGAGGTCAAGCAGAGGACAGTCAGCAGGAAAATCTAAACAGTCAATGACACAACAATCAAAGGAAACAACCAATCACAGACCACATCGTCAAGGCAAGCTACTAAATCACTCATGGAGAGATATTGACAGCTCACTTCATACTGAAGTTGGTGTTGATGATGTCGTCTAGAAAGACGATGAAAGCTTCACGATTAAGCGACCCGACTCAGAGAACACAATACAACCAAGACCATCCACCTTAGCTGCAAATATTCTCCACTATTTCGAAGGCATACACATCTGGCTATATACCGTGCGCCTGAACATTATATGTGGTCTATGTTGTCAGATATATGTTTCTGAAACAATGTTGCCTCTTTAGTGTACCTTTTAGAAGTAATTGGAATTATAATCCTCACTCACTTAGCTGGCGACATATTATAGAGCAAAAGCACCGTCTACCAGGAGTAACTCAGTGATGTTGAAAAAAGATTATTTCAAACAAATGCATAAGTGACAACAAATTTTCGACAGTATGTATGGTTCTTTATTTAATGTGGAACACAAGTGAATTAATTGCACATGGCGATGTGCTTGAAAAAATTGTTACCGTTTTGATGTCGTGGATTTCTGGAAACCTGGTGGTAGCTTTTAATTTATATCAAAATATCGATTGACTTTTATCCACTTTGGGAACTTAAGGAATAATTTCACTCAGCAGCCTGGTGATAAGTAAATGAGGCACAGTTTTAGCTCCCTTAATTTGATGGTTACGGGTTGCCGTATTTTTATTGGTGCATATTTGCACACTGGTACTATTGCTAGTTTCCTACGTTGGTATATCCAGTGTAAGTAGATTTTCGTATTCCTTTGCTTTTTTCATGTATATTGGATAGCCATTTGGCTTCAATGGATCGAGGACGAGCTTCGCAATGCTTCCACATCCGAAGAAAAACGACAAGTCGAAGTTCTTTTCAAACGTGCTGTTGATGATTATGAAGGTTAGCGGTTACACCTATTTTTTGAACTTGAGATAATACTTTTTGTACTAAGTTCTCAGTAAGCAGTAAGTTGTTCGCAATTAACTTTCTACAACCATTTTAAAAAGAGTATGCAGTGTGGTATCAACATTTGAGTAACTCTTGACCCAGCTGTCGAATTCAAAGTAAGGTAAGGGTTCTCCGTACTATCATTAAGATATTTTACTGTTTTACCAGCTTTCTGTGGGGGAGTTAATAACATTGCAGTCCACATTTTAAGGTAGACGTTTTATGTGTATCTAATTCGATTATACTTGCAAAACAGACCCGATCCATGGAACTACTATTGTTTGGGAAATATTATGACTACTATTATTTTCATTATCGTGTATCCATGAAGCAAATTAATCTAGTAGTCTTTCCAGTACTAGACGAAAAGTCACAATGAATTTGTTTTTTGTTCAAGTTTATTTCAGTTGTACTGTTTCGACCATTGATATGAATTCAAAATGCAGAAAAGCGTTAATCATTTTGTATCAATACAAAGTATCACTATTCGAATTTTGATAACTAGGCCAATCTGAGAGGAGTTGCTCTGAGTGGCTAGATCTCGCTTGTTTGCACCATTTTAAACGCATAAAGTCGTTGTACATGTGGCAGTAAAAGTTTGCCGCACTAAATCTCAGAGGTGTGTAGAAACTAATCCTAGATATGATGATGACGTTAGTAAAGGTGAACGACCCAAAGAAGAATAGACCTTGGTGCAGCTCATCACTTTTCTCATGTTAAACTTCATCTTACTGTTTATAGGAAAGATATTACTAAATTACAGCACAAACTCGCTGAGTTTGATACAGGTTCACCTCATCTTTTTACTTCATCACATGGGTTTTGATTCACCAACATATGATAACCCGACGCAGTCACTTTTCAATCCCACATCTCCACTTTTAACAAGTTCCAGCATGTAATGGGTTGTATAATAGTGGTCAGGCCAAGCTAAAGAAGTTATAACTGTACTTATGAGATTAATTAGTAATTCATCAAGGTTTGTTTGAACCTATTTGACGAATATAACAATGCTTATGACCAAATAGTGGGTTAATTTTTAACTCCCAATATGCTTTAATACATTAAGTTGTTAGGGGTGTCGTTAGAATAGTCTCATCAAGCCTGAGGTGTCAAAACTTGAAAAGCATTATAAATAACAGTTACTCTTCTGAGAAATAATGTTTGGATTGGAAGTAATGTGAACTTATTTTTACTAATGTTTGTTTTAGTTTCTTAATTTGTTCCCATAGATAGTGGTGGTGGTGGAGTTTATTCTTAATGAGAGACAATTTTATAATCGGTCAAAAGGTATTTTGCGGTTGTTATCATCGTTGTAATTGTTTGTCGAATTTCCCGCATCTCTAAAAATATCGTCATATACAATGTCAACACCCCTGTACCCATTGCACTCAAAGTGTTGTGGGAATTGATTCACTACCCAATAGTAGGCAATGTATCACTTAGACTTTTTATGTTACTTCTCCGGAATAATGCTAGAGATTGGGGGATTTTCAAAAGAGCTTCATTTTTAGGTTAATAAACTGACATATGACAGTAAAATAGCATCTAGCGTAACTGTTTACCGGTCAAATTGCCACAAGCGACTATTAACAAAAGGAATATTAGCAAACGAAAGTAATGGTTGGATAAAATAAACTCCAGATTAGTCAGATATAACAGAAGTTCATTACGGAAAATGAGTGCATGAAAGTTCATAAAGTTTCTGACTATTGATCTGATTCGTGTAGGTGTCTCTATGCTGCACGATTGATATCCTTATGAAGGAAATCGCTCTAGGACAGAGTTGCGCTTTTAAGTCATTAGGATCTTTTTATGTATCTTTTATTCATTGATTTAATTTACCTGGTGGTGGTTTGCGTTGGAATATAGGTTGTGCATTTAATCCCGCTTTGAACCTGCATAAATATACCTGCATCTCTGTCTGCAATATTATCCCTGCTGCAATTCTAATTCTAGAGCGTTAGTCACTCGGCTACTGAGTTACAGCAGCCACCTTTTATGCAGTGGGTGCCATTTGTTACCGATTGTTTCCCATTAATTAATATAGTGACTGATCTCTCTCTGCTAGCTCGCCACCAAACAAAATACACCACAATGAAGCATGAGGCAACATTGAGACATTTATTCAAAGAGTCTGTATACCAACAGAGACCAATAGATTCGGTCCATTGTAATAATTGAGAAATCACAAGCATCAAAAAATATCTTGTATTCACTTTTCACCTTTTTCCTTTAGATCCGAGTATTGTTGATATTGCTGTTTTCTCTCCTGTTGGTTTCTGGCTGTTCTCATGCGAAGTGTGACAGGTTGGGTTGATACTCAGCTGTGTATCGGGTTCTGTGTTGTTGGTATTTTGTATCCGCTCAGTATTTTCCAAATGAGTGATTATTGAGTTGTTTGCCTGTTCATGTCCTCATAGTAAGGATAGAAACTTATCACAGAAACTTCATTAATTTTCTGTTTTGGATACATCAGTAGTGTAGACTTCTTACGAAATTCTTTCCAAATCCGTTAAACGTTTAGTTAAGATCTCAAGGCTGATTTCCGATCGGTTTTCTGTAGAATCATCGTCCTACTATGGCAGTACGATGCATATCTATGTAGTTTACTGTAAGGATACTTCGTATACATTTATTATGAATTCCATATTATTCTTGTTTTCAGGTTAGTAAATTTGTTCACACTATATTTTAGACGTAAATGTCTGGCTTGAATATTGTCACTTCGCCATTTCTACCCTGGATTTCAATTCTATGAAGAGCATGCAAGAAGCAGAGGCTATCTTTGAATCTGCTTTGTCGCATCAGGGACTTAATGTTGCTGGGGGATCAATACTATGGGAGATCTACCGTGAATATCTTACAATAGTATGGTCCCAATTATCGCAAAAAGATCAGGTAAGAGATATCTATTTTTACAGGAAAAGAGTAGTTCATATACATTCTTTTTAAAACTATTCTTCGTACATATGTATAGCGGTGAAGCATTTTGTAACGTTAAGATATACGATTTTTATTGTGTATGCAGTACTGCCTCTCAGTGAATCGACGGTACTGTTTAAAGGATGTATAAAGTTTAAGGCAAAGTATGAATCTCTAAGAGGATAATTTTCAAGATGTATAAAGAAATTACAGCTTTTGATAAAACAACTGGTTTAACGAATATATTTTCCAGTAACTTCATTCTCTGCTAGTGCATAAGCGCAGTTTTGGTCTACGATATTTGGCAGTTTGAAAATGACAATAAACGACAAAAATTAGTTATCCACGATAATTTTCAATCTCTGATAAGCAAACTACTGACTTGTAGGCTTCACGTTTGCCCTCCGAGTAGTCATTGTTCAAACGAAGCTGAAAAAGAGTAATTGGATAAAAGTATAAACGCAGCAATATAAAGCGTTGATTTCCAGTTCAGTTTCTAACTGATTTTTTATACGTTCATGGGTTCCGAACCATCTTTATTCAACTTCACAGAAGATAAATCAACTTGGCAAAAGTTTCGAATAAATTGTTGACCTACCTTGTTCTTATTTTACCCCCTTAGATAGTCTTAATCCCTCCCTTTCTCCACTGATTACCGGTAGACATACTTGTAAAGCTTATCTCAAGCAAGAAGATTTTCAACTCTATTGAGCCCAGCCTACTTTGTATATCAATCACCAGCATCTTGTGTAACCAACTCTTAGTGGGTCGGTAGGCTACCCTACTATACTCAGAGTTGTTATACATTACCATCTATCTCGCATCCACATCCGTGAACACATTTCGCTGGCGATCATTTTGCTTAGACGAATATATCCAAGCAGTGCAGTAGACGTGTAAATGAAGACCAATTACGCTTGTTTATTACGCATTCTATACTATATAGATATGCAAACCAGTCACTTAGGTACTTTAAGTGCATGTTTAATACCTTTTACGTTTGTCACACTTTAGGAACTAAAATCAGAACAGGTGAGAAAAATGGATCGTTTGTTTCGCCGTCAGCTCAGTATACCTTTATTAAGTAAGTTACTCTTCAAAAATGCCTAAATCTGCTATATGGTAATGTTTCACTTCATATGTCACATTTAAGTTACTGTAAATTTTGGACGACGAAACAAGCCCATCGAGTCATAAAGAAAAGAAGAGATAATTCAGCGAGAATTTTTCTTTTTCGACGATATCATTTTCTAGAGTTGCACCAACTGTATTTATGTATATCACAAACGTATAATAGTCTATTATTAAACAATAGGGTATAATTGCATCACTAAGCTAGCGCTAAAAACTGAAATCAAGATTGGAAAGCAGTTGCGTAACAATCTTTTAGACAATGAAAATAATGAGAAAGGTAAGGAATTTGACAAAGTGAAAATTATTGGTAGATGTGAAATGGTATGGTCGAGTGTCCACTTAATAGATATAAAGAAGGTGAAGAAGGAAACAAGAGTCATAATGAAAGTGATAATAATAAACTAACTAGTTATAATAAACTCGAGAAATTGTGAAAGTGTTAAGACCATGGTAAGATAAGAGATTGAACTTACTTCTTCTGAACACAGAGGTCAGGCATGAATTGGTGGATTCCAGTGGTTCTACTGTGCACAACTGTCAAAAGCGTACTCTTTTTAAACTATTCCCTTTAACTATATAAATGACACTGAAGGAGGACTCTGATGGAGCTATATGTCCAGAGTTGACCAGATGTTCATGAATTGAAGTGTTAGTTGATTTCCACTCCCCTCGACAGTTTAGTGGTCAGAGAAACGTTTGGAAAGTACGTACTTTGTGCGGTCTATATAACCAGCTCCACAGGAGCAAGTAAATTTGTAGACATATATTGAGGTGACCTAAAGCGGCAATTTGTCCTTAACACATCGTGGAATCAGTTTCTGACTAGAAAAGCTGATCTGTAACTTATCAGAAAACAATATCTTGTTCAACAATTTGGACAGCCGGCTCTTTAGGATCACTGCTGCCCTATCACCAGCACTCATAAACAAAGTCTTATTCGGATTGTTAGCTTTAGAAAATGAGATCGTCGTAAGAGAAAATTTTCCTGACTGAATTATCGCTTCTTTTCTGTAAATTTAATTATTGGTTATAAATCTGTAAGCCTTTAAGAACAATATGTATTCTGACGTTAAAGTCAATATTTGGGCCTATTGTTGTGTGATACTTTTCTCAAGATTGAATTGACCACATTGTTTCCACATTATGGGATATGTATCCTTTTAGGGACATTAAGTTTATGTGCTGTGAATTTTTCATGCTAATTTCTGTGATTCATCCACTTTGTCCTACCGAACGGGTTTATCATCTTTTAGTTTTTTTGCTATGTGTCTGCATTGGATAATAGTAATGTCTATTGAAGGTTAGGACTATGTCCACTTCTGCAATACCATGTGTATAGGGTAAACGACTAACGTATTGTTGACAATTTGGTTAGTCTGTCTATATTTGTTTTAATTCTATGTTATGTAAGGAACGTTTTCGAGTAAGCTTTATCGGCTTGACTAACTGATCTTGGCAAGTTTTACGAAATCCACTTCATTTTTTCCCTTTTATTCATTGTAACAATGTCGCTGTCATTGTATACATGTACAAGTATCTTACAGTGCCTATTGAGTCAGTTCTTTGAGTCGATTCATTTTCCAACTAGCTGCATTTACAACGAGTTTTAAAAATCATAGTTTTATTACCGCATTAATTTAGCTCCACATCGTCAGGTGGAGGAATTGAAGTGGTTAGAAAGTTCTGATAATTTAGTTGGTTGTGGCTAGCAGAAGAATCCAGGACGCACGTTTAGTCCTATTTATGACTCGTCAGCTGGATGTACCTGCACCCTAGTCAATGATCTTGTTCCCACTGAAACTCGAACCTCGTACCCATCGCTTCTAACGCCAAGGCGTTATTCACTATGCCACAGAGGAACGATAGCCACTTCTTGTACAACGGGTAGTAGTTATTACTATTTAATTGACATACTTGTTATTCTCCATTGTTTTGTTGGATCCAATTGTTCGACCTCTATTAGCGTATAAGCTCCTATGCGGATACCTCGATATTGCCTGAATGTTAATTATGATAATTTGGTTAGCTGTGGCTAGCAGAGGAATCCAGGACGCGCTTTTCGTCCTATTTGGGACTCGTCAGCTGGATGTACCTGCACCCCAGTGATGTTGTTCCCATTGAGACTCGAACCTCGTACCCATCGCTTCGCGGTTGAACAATTCGATCCAACAAAACAACGGAGAATAAGAAGTATGCCTATAAATAGTAATGGTTAGAAAGTTGTTAATTTGAAGAAAGTAGAAATACCACTGAAACATTTATCTTCTGAGATCTCGTCTTTTCCTTTTCATTGGCACATAGTTTCAAATTATCACCCCGTAGTTTACTATTATAGTGCCAGTATTCACTAAAAAAACCAGACGAAAGCATTGTACCGGACACCGAAATTATTTACAACTGACTTACGGCACTGAGTTATTTCGGTTTCCCGGCAATATATGTTTGGGACCATATGGGACAACAAATGCTTTTTTTTAGTGCCTGAATTGGATTAATCCGTGATTTCTTTTTATAAGTTGTCATCCCTTCATCCTAGCTGTACTAATTTTTCTTTACTCACTTCTTCCATTGTCGTCTTTCAACTTCTTTTCACCGTACTGTTAGTAAGCACTGTATTTCTATTGTGTAAATTAGATATGGAACAAACCTTAATTGAATATCAAACTTTCCTATCTGATATCGGTGTGGATCTCTACCAACCAAGAGAAAATTCAGATTCTTTCCTACCAGAAGAGGTTAAAACAGATTATGAAAAAGCTTTGGATCATTTGAGTGTTCTGTTACCTTTTGAAGAAGCTATAGAGGTGAGTTGTATATCTATTTGAAGAATATTTCAGTGAACATATAACTAAGGTTTATTTTGACCATTTATCGTGTAGTATGCTGAATGTATGTAATAGCCTAACTGAAAAAGTATTACAACTAACTAATCTCTTGCATGTTCAAGGCCTATCTCAGTTCCCCGACGTAATAGGAATTGGGGGTTAGAAATTCTCGGTGATATAGCTCAAAATTGATATTAGTTCAGATGTATACCCTATGTCATCTTCGAAATTTTGAAGATTTTTATGAATCTTCATCTATTTGTCCATTCTTCTCTCATATACTTCTGTCTACTTTTATCTCTTCCCTTTTCTATCTCTCTTTCCCTTACTTACTGCTATGAAGTGTGTCAACTTGAATCGGTGCATTTCTGTACTAGGTTCTATGTTGATCTGTCTCTCTGCGTTTCCAAGCATTGTCGTATCAAGTAAATCTAGCATTTGACGATTAATGACAACAGGTGAACGCTGGAGATGATACGTTGAATGAGCGATGTAATAGTAGTGTTATTCACTATTTCTAGAAGCTTGTTCCTTCTAAAACCGAAGTTCTTCTGCCTGGTTTATAAAGATTCTTTCTTTTGAAGCCAACCTTTTTATTGGACATCACACAAAGTTGTCAGAAATCAACAATATTTAGATTCTGTTATGTCGACGTTTTTTTCATAAGTTCATTTCGACCTCTTGACTATGCATGATTACATAGAATATAAACATCTGGTAATATATGACACCTGTTAAAGTAAAGTTTCTTTCAGAAACTATAAACTAAAGCTTTCAAAATTGAACCTTCTATAGGTTTTTAATTTCATAATATAAGAGCTTGAATGTGAATATCTATCCATTAACAAGTATAATTAATTGAATTCTCAATTAAACATAAAAAGGAGCATTTGTAAAAAGCGAGAAGAGCAAGTTTAGCGAAAGAAATTACAAGCAAATGATAAGTTTAAAAAAGATTAAAATGTATCCAAAAGGATCATGTATGAACTGCAAAAGTAGATATGTAGTGATCATTTTGGTACTTAAAACTTACAGGAAGTTAATGATTAACTTATTCAAGCCATTGTATTTTACTTAAAGTTTTTAATCATTAGTTTCTCGTCTCTTATAAACTTCAACTAGTATTCGCTACATGGCTCAAGCTGACAGTCTCTGATTAATGAGATCAGTGTTATATTTTGACCTTATCTAGCTGACGATGGCAATTATATTATCTAGAGGCTATGCATTATGTATATTGATGAATGATATGAAGCGGTAAAGACTGCTAATATGGATCAGTAATGCATATAATTCTACAATTTCATATCTTTTGAAGTGATTAGTGCTAGACTCAGATCCCAATGAAACTGCAGTACTGATGTGTAATGTCTCCAGTTAACGAAACGTCCATATGTGATCGCATTGCCGGCTACTGAGCGATGATATTTCTACATATTTTTTGTACTTTAATATCACTTATCAATTAGTATTCTTATCCATGTCCAATAATGTTTTAGATTGAATTTCTTCCCATCATCTGTTGGTTTTGTGTACTTGTGCTTGTACTTGAGATGACTAGCGAATGATATTATTATCAATTACTAAGTAGTTTGAGTATTTTTTTAATGAATTTATTGTCATTGTTTCGTTTGAATTCAAGTTGTAGGCTGCTGGTGTGGATTTGAAAGTCATTTTTGTCACAAGCAGTTCGTATGAGTTATTTATGAAAGGGTTACTTATCATTTTGACTATCTAAGATAGCCGTAGTTTGGCAGACTAGTATTTGTACTGTACCGCGGCCATGGTCGCTGGTTGGAATCTGGCCGCGGTCCAGATTTTCATCTCACCTTCAATCATTACCCAGTACAAAGAGTTACTTGTTGGAATCTGTTCCACTAGTTCAAAGGACTACATAGTAACTCTTAAACAATTAAAGAGATAAGATTTTGATCTCCGGAAATCACATAAGTTCCTACCGATGACGACAGCTTCGTGAAGTGACTGGATATTATTGCAGTACTTCATGATTTCGAATAATTACTTTAAATTTTTAACATTTAGATTTAGAGTAATGAAAAAAAATCAAAAATCAATATCAGCATAGGACCAAACATTACTGCACAACCTTCCGAATCGCCACACCTCATATCAAGATCACAAGTAACAAAGCAGTAAGATGAAAGATTTAGAATGAGATGAAATTCGATCAAAGGCAGTAGAGAGCAGTAAAAGAGAGAGAGGAGGAATACGAAAATGCTGAATTTTGTACAGCGCTTAGGATGAAGTGTGGACATGTCTCCGCCACTGACATTAATTCTAAGCCCTTTGCCTAGAGTCTCCAACCCTTCTGGTTTCTCTTATCCCGTGGACTCAGCGGGCTAGTCTGCATCTCCCTACATCACTCAAACGAACAGTCAAAGACTTCATCCATTAATGCCATGCTTTATTCTATTCGGTGCGAACCTTTTTCCAACCTGATCCTGCCTCAGCCAACATTGCTCTACAAGGCAGACGGTGACTAGGCATGCGTAACGCATGTCCTAACCATCTCAGTCGAAGATTCGCAACCCTAACCATTGACTTTTCTCTCCTTCCTAAAGCTCTACATCAGACTTCTGCATTACTTATGTGGTGACATCACGATACACAACCTTTGCTACCGAGGCAACAGTGGTCAAACACCTGAAGCCTTCTTATGTCCTGTACCTTTAATGACCGTGTTTTACAGCCATATAATAGGACAGAGAGAACTGCAGCAAGTACTTTCAACCCCTGAAAGATCATTAGATATTACGGCGGCGCCACAGGTGGTGTGTTTGTGGCGAGATTTCTTCGGTCACTTAGCCACCAGGGCTGATCCAACTTTCCAGGTTGAATGAAGTGTTCAACGCACCCTATTGTTAGCCGAGGCACCAGTGAAGACCAGCCCTGTGGTAATAATTTACATTTGAGTGGGGAGGGACGCTTCCGAACATTCTCAAATTGCCACTGAACGTGTCCAGTAGACTCTATATGTCAGGGTTTTCGACTGACGAAATTATGTCATTCGCATACTTCAGATCGACTATGGAGTCTCCTGTTACAAAATTAGTCCCTATGATGTCAGGTGACGATAGGGAAACCTCTATAAGAAAATTTGTGACGAAACTGAACAGGAATAGAAAGAGTGATCATTCTTGATGGACACCACTTAATGCACACAGCTCACCTGGCTGCTCATCATAAGCTCAGACACCCGTGGGTACTTGGTGGGAACCATCTGGGAAACAATAGGAGCTTTATACTTACTGAAAATTTAAAGCATTTCTTCCGTCAACCATTAGTATTGTAAAGTTTCTTTTGCTTATAACTAATTGCTCATACAATTGCATATACATAAATTCATACAGGAAGCAAATGATAAGTCAGAATCTGAAGCTATTTCCAGTTGGAATATATATCTTGATTGGGCAGTTCATTGTGCAAAACGTAAAAAGCCTAAAACATCTACAAAAAATGGTGATGTTAATAATGAGAGCAGTTCCACAACTTTCGTTATGTCACCAAACGAATTGTGCTGTCTTTTTGAACGTGCTATTACCGCACATTGTTTGGATACAACTTTGTGGATACGGTATGCAGATTATGTGGTGAGTTTACTATGATTAAAACGTCAACATAAAATATTATTATTATTTTCCCTTGGGTTCCTAGTGGAACATAAAAATTCAGTAACACGCCTCCATTGCACTCTCTTCTCTCCAGTCTCCTCAGACTGGCGCCACGACTGCCCACAAGCTTTCATTTCTTCTTCATATCATCTTCTCCATGTTACCCTCGCCTCGGATGCCCAATTAGTCGTTTCCTCTTTGGATTCCACTCGAGGGCCTGACGCGCGATGTCCCGATTCGGCCTTCTCAGTGTATGCCCAATCCATCGCCACTTTCCTCTACATATATATATATATATATATATATATATATACATGCTATCTTTTTCTTCCTAGTTCAGTGTTTAACCTAAATTGACTAAACCTTTCAATTTCTCATATTCGATTGTGCGAAGGCACGCTGGGGAAAGCATGGCTGAATGTTGGAGAAGACTATGTGAATGTTACAACAAAGAAGAAATTAAATTCAGAGACGCTGTTTTTGTTTTTCTTGATATCAGAATGGATCTCAAAGTTATCATAATTCTTTAGGTTTTTTCCCAGGGATATGACCAATTTCTCTTAATTCTTTGTATGAGTGACGCTGATCACCTGTTTGTGCATTTGTTGGATTTCTCTCTGGTCTAATTTATTTCATCTCAAACGATTTTGACCTAGCATAGTTCAGTTAACCATGCAACAGTAACTTCGTACAGACTAGGAACTGTGGCTTATTATTTTAGACAGAGGACCTTCAGCCCAATGGGTCACGGGTTCGAGCCCCGCTCAACTTACCGCGGTTCGGGCGACCAGATAGTATCATTAGCTTTCACACAAGAGGTTTGGTTCATTGCCTACTACATGGTTGTGCACAAGGTTGATGAGTGTATTTCAAATTGGTGCAAACTGACAGGTAACTGAAAACATGTATTACTTGGCTCCGTTCATGATAATGAACAGTGGTGACTTTGTTATAAGCAAAGAAAAGAGTCCAAAAAGTGATCCTGAGCATTAATGGGCAGCAGAAATTATAAAAATACAGTAACTAGCGATGGCAGGTACTTGTTGACAGCTGTTTAGAATTATTATGTAGACTTATGTGAAACAGTTGCAGTCAGTGAGATGATAGCAATGAAAGGCCAATCAGTGTTATACCCACAAGGAATGTAGCGGGAACGTTTATTTGAACATTTTTAGAAAGCCACCATCTGCTCATTTTCTAGTTTGTTTGACATCGAGTCTTCAACTTCTACCGATGTTGAAAAGTCTGTAAGAAATGTAGAACAGTAAAAGAACCAGATTAAGACGGGTTACAATAAGAAGTATATGAAGATGGCAGTTCAAGAACTCTATGAATATATGCTGTTTTGAAGTGGTCATGCTTTTCATTAGCATAAGGGTCGATGCAGAACGGTTGGAGTAAATCTAAAAGGACTTAATAGTATTTCACTTTATCCAATTGTTTCAACCATTACAATATCGTAAAATCACCGTGTGAACAATGACGAGGTTAAACAAAGGGTACCAGGTAAGGAATACAGATCAATCGATTGGGTTGTGAACCTCCGCCGAGTGGGATGGCTTGGACATATGTTACTCATACCGAACCGCCCCCTACCTCAATGTGGAACATTAGCTGAACTGGAATCGAGTTGAAAGAAGGCTCAGTGGGGTTAGACCAATACGCAGCATCAGTCCATATAGTCACTGGCTGTTAGCCTGAGCTGTATATGGAGGTGTAGACTGCCTGGTTAGGATCCTCAACGTAATCGGAGTCAATGGTTTGAGACTCTTAGTGATATGGCTGAAAATCGATCACAATGACATAGATGCGTTCATTCTTTGCTATCTTCATAGGTTTCAACATTTTCATCTATTTTCACCTATTTTCTCTGTCTCCTCCGACACACCCTTACCTAGTTTGATATCACTCTTTACCTACCTATTTACTCTTTAGATGCGTCTGCGAAGTGTGGCAACTTGAATAAGTGTACTTTAGTGTAAGGTTCAATGTTGATTTTGTATATCTGCCTGGAAAAAAGCAATTACTTATGCGTGCATTATACTTGCGATTTATCCCACTTTTCTGATCAATTATTGTTTATATTTTGTATGTTTACAAGGAATCACAAATTGAAAATGATATTCAGCGTTTACAAAAACTATTAGCTCGTTCAGTACGTAATTGCCCTTGGTGTGTTGAATTATGGCAACGATATGCATTGATAACTGAAGCTGTAATTCTTGAAGGTATACCATTAAAATCGAATACCAATGGAGCAGAACAAGAATCTGTTTCACGTGAATCTGATCTGTTCAAAGAAGTTGATGGTAAGTTGTTTTCTTGTCTTGAAAACAATCATCTATAAGGTTATCACCGTGCTCACACCTTTAAGAAATAAACGAAACTCAGTAATTCGATAATTGATGGAGCATAGCAATCTGGTCATCTTTGTCCATTTTTGTTCAGCTTTATCGTGAACGTAACTGTTTCTTCCTTCCAGCTGTTAAGGTATTGATAATGTACATGAAGATCTTGTAATCCATATCAATATGGTCTCGCTAGATGAATACCCTTATTTAATTCGTAGTATTTTCAACACTTAAACACAAATTAGAAATCTGTTAAATATAAGATCATGTTAAGGGACTGATTTCGTGTGAGAACTAGTTTGAGTGAAAGGGAGTATAGTAATCGAGTTTGTTGACTATTTAAAAGTTCCAAGTTCATCAACTGAGATGGCTTGGGTATGTACTGCGCATGCCAAACCACTTCCTACCTTGACGTAGTACGCCAGGTGAAGTTGGATTAAGTTAGAAGAGGGTTCGGGGTAGCCAGACCAAGACGTGGTACCAGTTCATGAAGTCCCTAACTGTTGATCTGAGCCGTGTTAGGAAATGTAGACTACATGGCGTAGGTTCCCGAGACGATAGGAATCAGTGATTGAGGACTCTTGGTGACATGACTGAAAATTGGTCACATTAGCGCAGATATACTCTTTCCTTGACGTCTTCCAAAACTTGAATATTCTCACTAACCGTTATCTTCAAATTGCTTATTTTCGCACACATTTTTGTCTATTCTGATATTATTCTTTTTTCTATCCACTTGTTCTTTTTATACTACCGTGCAGTGTGATAACCTGAGCCAATGGAATTTGGGGTTTATGGGGATTTAGAAATATTTTAAGTTGGTTTTCATCATGGACTGATATCAGTTGGAGGAACATTGGAAAGCTGGGAGCAGTGGACAGCTGTTGCTTCCTGGCCACGAAACCTGAAGGTCGCGGGTTCGATCCCTAGCGGGGTCATGCGTGTCTACTACTGAAGACTCTCATGCTTGGATGAAACAGCTGTCCAGTGCTACCAAGTTTCCAATGTTCCTCCAACTGATGTCAGTTCATGATGAAAACCAACTTAAAATTTCATTATAGCCTGTTTATTAGAAATGTCATACAGGGAAACAGTATGATATACAGTAAATAGTACTGATCCTAATGAAGGAGAATATTAAATTTCTGACTTTTCACCAGCTCGTAGAAGTTGCTACTTCAAAGGGGAAAAGCCTGTGCAGGTTATTAGATGTTTAAATAGTAGATGGAACAAATCTGATCACATTTTCTAGACGTGTGCACAAAAAAACAAGGTATGACTAAATGTAAACTATATGCCTTATTAATCAGTGAGTTCAGTCTGATGATATGAATGTGTATACACATGTAAATGAGTAGGAATGAAAGTGTAGGTACTGTACTGTACTCTATACTGTACTCTATACCAGATTATTTATTTAATGTTCCATAAAATGAGACACCATTATTTATTGGATGACGTTTCGAACAGAATTCAGTGTTCATATTCATATCAAGGCGATTTGAGTAGGTGTGAGTTTAAGAAAAGCAATATGAATGAGAAATTTACTTTGATTTGTATGCGTAAGTACTTTGGTTATGGTAAATCTGTGCAATATGTAATTCCACATGTATTGTTAGCGTTGGTTGGATGCTTCGATCTTTCTTTCTATTAAGTGTAGTTGGATTCAATACAGTGTGAAATTTTAACATAGCTAGAACAACAAATTTTCCAGAGTATGATGAGTTCATTGTATTTTGTCGCCTTCTTTTCAACTGCATATAAGCTTGGGACTTCGACGAAAAAGAGATGGATCATAATTAAGATCTGTTTACAGAAAAGAAACATAGAGTGGACATTATCTCTATTTTGACAGTTTCTGTCGTATGTTATAAACATGGACTAGTTAAAATACTATTTCAAAGGGGTAAAAACTATTTATCAGACAAACTGACTGAAGAAATTCACTTAATCCTGAGATGTATGAAAGAAAATGGTTACCCTAAAAGATTTATAGATAAAGTTGAAATAAGAATAGTGAGAACAAGCGTACTCGATAGTCTTAAGAAGGTACCTGTAGTGAACACATTCCAAAGAAGTTAAGTTTAAATAAGCCAAAGTGCCTTAAAAGTTCCATTACTAAATATATGATGACACAGGATATAGCCTCCAGATCTCGAAGGCATTTAATACAATCAATAAATAAAACACTGCTAATTTACTAAGATTCCCAGAGGCTATTACCATCAGAAGAATGAAACCGAACTTATGCATCTGAAAAGAGGCAGTCGTTAGCCTCTAATCTGATTTAGTATGATTACTTCCAAAATTCTTTATTTTCATCCCCTTTTACAACCATTTTCATAATCAACTTTTTCATCTCCCCAAGTTAACCATTTGACTCAGATGAAATCTATCTCAACCCGTACAGAAAGTTTGAACTGTATATTTACATTATTAACTTATCACCTACACTTACGGTATCCTTTCTGTTCCACTTTTTTTGATTGGTCACACGCAGCAAAATGACCATCTGACTATATAAACGTAAGATAACTTCGATAGTAGTAATCACAAATTATCTCATTTGAACTTCCTTAATCTGTCTGTCATCTTCTTAACAAGTGAAGTATGTGGACTGTATCTCTCTCCCTATATATATCTTATGAACTTACAGCCTGGTTAACTAGTTCACCAGTTACTAGCCGGTCCTAAGCCCAGGTAAAGAGGCAAGGTTGGGTGTAGGGCTGGCAACCCTACCCCGTAAAACCAATCCAATCGCTAAAGAAACTGACCACTTCAAAAAATCTAGAGTCGACCACCACCTGCAACTCGTCCTGAAATACCACCAGCAACTGCAAAACTTCCAGTGAACACAGGCCCTCCGACAAAAGCAGAAGTCCTGAACGCCATAAATCTGCTGAAATCCGGGAAAGCAACAGGACCAGATGATATCCCACCAGAAGCACTGAGAGCAGATGCAAAACAACAGCGGACATGCTCACACCACGATTGCAGAAGGTCTGGAAGGAAGGAAAGGTGCCTGCAGATTGAAAGAAGGGTTACCTTTTCACACTTCCAAAGAAGGGTGACCTATTCGTTTGCAAGAACTGGCGAGGAATCACGCTGCTGTCCACCCCACGCACAATATTAACCCGCATCATCCTGGAGAGACTAAAGGATGCGCTGGATTCGAAACTGCGACCGGAGCAGGTTGACTGGATTCAGGAAGTACAAATCATGTGCGGAACAAATTGCAACGCTTCTCATCATCATAGAACAGAGCACAGAATAGTAGTCAACTCTACACCTCAACTTCATCGACTTTGAAAAGGCCTTCGACAGCGTATACCCAGAAGTAATTTGGCAGTTGCTTCAACACTACGGTTTTAGTACCACAAACCTTTATCAATCTCATTCAACAACCATATGAAGACGCCACATGCCAAGTAATTCACAATGGAAAGCTCAGCAACGCCTTTGAAATGAAGACAGGAGTAAAAGAAAGCTGTTCACTATTACCGATCATCTTCGTGATTATGGTGGACTGGATCATGCAGCAAACAGTGATGAGCGAGAAGATAGGTATACTCTGGACCGCGGAAAAGAAACTAGAAGATTTGGATTTCGCCGATAACTTATGTCTGATGTCACACAAACTTGAAGATCTACAGGTAAACAGAAGAGGCGAGGCAGGGCAGCGTAGGAAGACGGGACTTCAAGTGAGGGTAGAGAAGACGGAGGTGATGAAGATACCCAACCAACACGATCAACCACAACAAGCTCCAATCACCATGAACGTTAGTAACTTAAAGGAAGTTGTCTCTTTCACCTATGTAGGCAGCACTGTTTCAACTGCAGTTGGCGGCACAGACGAGGACGTCAAAGCCAGCCGGGATTGGAAAAGCGAGACAGGCGTTCATTAGCCTGAAACCAGTATGGAGATCTTCTGCACTCAGCATGAAGCGTGAACAAGATCCGGATTTCCAACGTCAGTTCAATCAAGTCAGTGTTGCTGTGTGGTTGAGAAACTTGGCATGTCACGAAAAGCCTTTTCAACGAACTGCAGACATTCACCAACAGCTGCCGCCTACACTTACTCCATACTGAAGATCAGATGGTTAGAAAGAAAAAACAACAAGGAAGTGTAGGAACGAACCAACCAAGAAGCTATCGCTGAACAAATATGCAGAAGAAGAGAGTGGAGATGGATTGGGCGTATACTGAGAAGGTTGACTGTGGACATCACGCGTCAGGCCAGGCGGTCGAGTGGAATCCAAAGGGGAAACGACGAGTTGGGCGTCCGAGGTGAGGGTGACATGGAGGAGATGATGTGAAGAAGAAATGAGAGCTTGTGGGTTGTCGTGGATCCAGGTTCAAATGTTTGCAGTGAACAGTGTGTATTGGAGACGTGCTAGTGAAGCCCTATGTTCCATTAGGAACCCATGGGACAAATAATAATAATAATTCTCACCACAGGTAACATTATGGGTTTAGGTAGATGGATGTGTGTAACACACGTTCAAACCATCGAAGTCACTGAAGGTTAACAACTTAAACAATCTACTTGTATGTTTTGACCCAACTTCTGAATTTCTACAGTAGTGGTTGCATAATATTCGGGTAATGCTGCTCAGGTGATAGTGATCGAGCAGTTGTTTACTTGACATTTACTGTTGTGAATACCTAACTAGAATGGTTTAACCACTCGGTTGCAGATGCGAAAACCGCTCCGCCTATCGAGGTTTTGGCAGCTGGGTAGTATCATTGGTTCTAACACAATAGTTGGTGTTCACTGTCTTACTGTACCAGTATGCACAAGGTTGATTAGTAGATTTTGATCTTTTTTCATGTAATAACAATAGTAATTTCAAAAAGTCAAACTGTAAATAATCAGCTAGGTAATTTAGTTACAATCGTCTGAAGCCACAATAACAAATTTCACTTCAGTTACATTCTCTCTCGCTCGATTAATGTTAACTTGGACTACGATTCAAATGTTCACTTCCACTAATCGTTGTTATATAATGCCTTTCAGGAATATATGAAACAGCTTTGGTAGCAGGTTTCACAAATCCAGGCGATGTGTTAAAAATTTGGCGTAGTTACTGTGATCATCATCTACGCAGACTCTGTTCATTAGAGAAGACTTCTTTATCTAGAGGTAAGTCATCTTTTGTGTACACTCTCATCAAAAGTATTTGATTTTTCACTAATTCTCTTGAATTCTTTATTTGAATTACTTCAGGTAGACGGTGTCTGAACTTATAGTGTGATAATTATGGTTAAATTTTGTCACCAAACTTCAAGTATTGGTAATGATTTTCCATCCATCCATCTAAATCAACATAGGACCTGGCATTACTGTGTAACCCTCTGAGTTACCACAGCTCATATCTGTACATGAAGTAAAAAGGCAGTGAAGTGGAAGATGAGGGGGAGAAAATGCAGTCAAGAGAAATATAAAGTACTAAAAGAGAAAGGAGAAAGAGAAAATGGTGAGACTCGGTATGGCGTTAAGATGACGATAATATGTGTATACATCTATGTGACTGACATCGGCTCTCAGCCATTATGGATCACCTAGAGTCTCCAGCCACTGGTTTCTCTTGTCCCTCGGATACCAACCAGCTAGTTTTCATCGGCCTACATGGCTCAAGCGAACAGTCAAGGTCTTCATCCATTGGTGTAATGTTTTAGTCTGGCCTCCTCGAGCCTTTTCTACCCTGAACCTTCTTCACCCTACATTGTGTGACGAGGCAATCGGCGACTAGGCATACGTAACACATGTTGGGGCCAACGATCTTAGTCGACAAAGGTTCACAACTTCGTCAACCGACTTACCTCTTCTCTCTAAAGCTCTGCACCTGAGTTCTGCGTTACTCATGTGGTAACACCACGGAATATGGCATATGCTACGAAGGCAACGATGGTCAAACACCTGAAACTTTCTCATGTCTTCCACGTTCAATGGCCATGTTTCACAGCCATATAGTAGAACAGACCTGACTGGTGTGCAGTATACGCCGCCCTTAATAGACAGTTGGATATCACGGTGGCGCCACAGGTGGAGTAAGTCGGCAAAAGCCAGTCGAGCCTTTTTTATTCGTACAGAGATTTCCTCGGCCAGTGAGCCACCATGGCAGGTCTGATCCTACTTCCCAAGTAAGTGAAGTGGTCAACACACTCAACCATTATACTCTCTATTGTTAGACGTGGCACCATTGAAGACCAATCCTGGAGCAACAGTTTCCATTTAGGTGGTGAGAAACACATCCTAATCACTCTCAAATTGCCACTCAATGTATCCAGAAGACATCGCATCTTGTCAGTTTCTTCACCTAACGGGACTGACTATGTCATCTGAGTGTTCTACGTCTAACGAAAATTCTCCCTCGGTGTAGTCAGGTGACCAGAGGGAGACCTCTATAAGAATATCTATTATAAAATTGAATGAGAATGGTAATAATTTCGGCTTCGAGTACAATCTTACCTAGATCAGATCTCAAATCTTAATAAACCCTTTACCTAGTGGATCTCTGCTGTTTATCTATTCACCCTAAGTTAACCAGCATTCTTCGTATCCTTTTGTGAGTGAACAATATTTGAAACTGTCTTGTAAATACCATTACCTTCTGTCTTGTGATAAGTTTTTTTGGTGGAGGTTACTGTTATGTTGTATCATGAATTATCTCATCGTTGATTGGACTAAATCAATCTGTCTCTATTGGTTTATAAATTCCGACACGAATTCCTTGGTATTACCTGTTGTTTCAACTTTATAATAATGGTGGATAGTGGCTAGCGATGGGAACAACGCCACTCACTAAGTGGCAGATACTCCTACCTGGCGATTTGCAAATGGGACGAAACGCTCGTCCTGGATTTCACTGCTAGTCACAATGTATGATTAGTAGAGTTAGCTGATATTTAGGTGGTGCCCTTCCCAAAAACATTCATTCAATTGGTTGGGTGATAACCATTCGTCGTTGATCTTCGACTTTAGTTGTCGTTCTAAATCCAGTGTTCTTCCTTCACGAATAATGTATCACAGTTGAAAGTTGTTTTTTAAGAGATTTTAGCTATATTTTTTTAACCTGTAGTACTGCACTCTGCTTCCTCTTCACCGACAAACATGCGCTACAATCTAGCAATTATGTCTACGCTGATCGAAATGATAAAAACTTCAGTTGCAGCTCAACAACCACGTGCACGTTCATGTGGTAGTTAGTGCGCCATACTTATTGTATGAGGGTTTTTTGAAGCATCGGGCTACATAGACCATTGTAGTTTGGGTGGGGTTTGGTCCATTGGTTGATAGTCTAGTATCTAAAACTATGAGGCACAGCTTCATTTGATGTGTTGCTCACTTGGTCATTAATTACTAATGAAGTCGTGGAGTATCAGATTGACTACTATGATAGTCGTCTGAATACTGTTCACCACGAAATTTATTGTACCTAATTCAATCAGAAAATGATTCAATTAAGCTTTAGTGATGGCGAATCACGTTCAAGTATGCACTGACCAATCAGAATCAAGAATATGAAGAACAAAGTAGTTATTATTAAGGGAAATTGTACTTTATTTGCAGTTTATTAGTCTGTTTCACACGAGAAATAAGAATATCTAGATTTTAAATAGGTTTATCATCTTTGAAGCCATACCGTCGTCTGCATTGCCACTAATCCATAAGAGACAATATCATTTAACTGATATTTGATAAATTTCGCGTCGTGATCACGCTAAAGGTCTGAAAAACTTTCTAAGACACGTATTTTCAAAGTAGTTTGTGTACACTCCAGCCGTCTAATCAACGAAGTGCTTTTTGTGAACAGTAGCTTGATGGGGATGACCTGTTTGAAATAAAGGCATGTATGACTTCCGAGCGTCTATGTATCTTGCGATACCTAACGCCACGTGTTTTCGCAAATCTGCTAGAATTGATTTCTTTGGTCTATTCTTTATCCACTGAAAACGTCTTTTCTTCGTATTGCAATCGTATATACCAAGAATCTGTAGTTCGCCAAGACAAATGTATGTATATATGGATTGGGTAAGTTACCCATTCCTGTTTAAATAATCTTTCTAAGTTGTATTCAAGTTTCTAAAGAAAATATCCATCTATTTCAACCACATCACCTTCTCCAACAAATTCTACATGCGATTTGCAACGTTATTTTCGTCATAATTCATGAAATGTTTATGCAGCAGCAACAATGTGGTAAATGAACGTAACGAATAGCTTGGATAAATCATCTCCAACCTGATTGATTATCCTCAAGGTTTTCCATCATTAAAGTTTAGTTGAACCGAAAAACTATAATTAGTGTACTGGAATTTGAGTTCTGTGTAGTTTAATCTAGTGCTTCAATATTTTGACCTTCTAATGCATCATAGAAGTGTTGGTTTCTCATGGATAAGCTTCTACAGATAATATCTGTACTACCGAATAGTATAGTGTATGACCTACGACAAAAATACGATAGTTCTTTTTGCTACACTTTGATTGTAAACATATTTGTGAAGTTAAGGGAGTTGTAACTTATATTGGTCTAGGCAGTTGGCTTTCAACCACTAGGTCATGAACTTGAAGCCTGCTCTATGTGCTATTGCTCAGGCGGTCAAATATCACCAGCTCTTATATAATAGATGTAACCGAGCTTTTTTTAGTGAGTTTTTGGCATTTTGAGGGATATTTATCGAGTATTTCTCACTTATGGTGGAACTACTTAGTTATTAGTGTTATAGATAAACGCTGCGTGCAGCAGTGTAAGTTTTCTTATTGGGATTTCCGAGTTGTTGAGACGGAATGATGAATAGAAGAACATACATAAAACTTGACATTACTGTGTTACGATCTAAGTAGTCAAACGTAAACTAACTACATCGAGGAGGATATCAAAAAGAAGGAAAACGAAAAAGTGAATATCATTTTATCAGAATTTATAAAACACCATGAAATAAAGACAGGATATGCGAAAATTAAAGACATATTACAGTTGATATAGAGGCAAGAAGTCAGTGGTTGGTGGTAACCTTAAGTGATATGGTTCAGAATCGGTTACTTTAACACAGGTGCACTCACGTTCTGGTGAAGTAAAATATTAATTTCCTTACCATTCTTCAATCATATCCATCTTTTTTTTCGTTGATTTCCCTTTTTTTCTATGTTGTTGTGAAGTCGAACAATTCATACCCGTACAAGTTTTTCCCATAAGTATTCTATGTTTTTTTTCTATGATCCTAGCAACTAATTTTCCATATCATTTTATCCAATTCCTCTAATTGATTGCTACTTTCACAATTTATGAGTTAAGAAGAAAGCAAGATGAATTTATTGTTCATTGTTTTTCTCTTTTTGTCCAGAATATCGACTGTCATTACTTCGTGCTACATTCGGTCGAGCTATTGAATATTGTTTTGAATGTGAGTTCATCATCACTATAATAAAGGTGTTTCTTGATAATTATTGAATGTTCTGTGAACTTTGGGTTTTCACTAGACCAGACAACTTCATCAATAGAAAAAGTGTTTTTAAGAAAAGTTTATTTTCCAATTTTTATGACATGATTTGGCGTGTTCTTTTCAATAATTCTTCAAATTTTTTATAAGATTTGAAAAAGTTCCGTGTTATAAGTATTTCTGTGAACACGTGTTGAATGTTCATCAATTTGAGAAACCCTTTACACCTATGAGCACTAGACAGCTGTTTATTCTTAGTATGAGACAGCTTATAGGTACAAACCCACGATCCCACCAGGGGTCGAACCCAGGATCTGCAGGTTTCATGGTGCGAGTGCGTTACCTATTCAATCACTGGATCAGAGTTCACTGTTCCACAATGTCCTACTGCTCTTAATTTGTGATATAGCATGAGTGTCATCCAAGGTCATTAGTTGAACTCTGAACTAGTGTCTAAATCGTCAACGCACTCGCCAAGGGATACCTTTAGTTCCTGAGGAGCCCCATACTAAGACAAAACAGCTGTCCAATGCTTTCAAATTCTAAATGGTTCTGCAACTGGTTTCAGTCGATGATGAATTCTACCTTGAAATAAATAAATCTCCACAAACCTCGAACTATATATATATATATATATATATATATATATAATTTTCCTATCAGCGAGGCCATCCAAGTTAGCTGCAGTCTGGTGCACTGGTTCTTATTGATACTGGTTGATGATTAAAGGTGAAATGAAGACCTGAATTGAGGATTTAAGCTACGGGAACCCAGTTGCTGACGAAGTCCTTAATTAACTCCAATTGTCGAACATTTTTCCCGGCTGTCAAATGAATTCATGATACCGTTAATCGTGATTACACTGGTTGCTCAACTATTTCTTCTCAATCCAAATTGAGCTATATATATATATATATATATATATATATATATATACTATCAACCGAACCATTGTATTGCGTTTTAAGATCAACAAAAATTCACGTTTATGTTGTTGTTTGTGATATATTGAATAGTACTTTATAATAGTGTCTCTTGTTTACCCCATTTTGATATTTCTTGCTTTCATTATCATCAATATCAACATAAGACCGGGCATTACTGCGTAACGGTTCAAGCTGCCACACCTGATATCAGCACAACAAGTAACCAAACAATAAGATGAAAGATGAAGAAAAAACGAAAAGTCGGTTAAAAGAGAGAGAGGAAAGAAGTATCTTAGTTGCACTCCCAATAGCACAGTAATAACTCCTCTGGCTTCAGAACTGGCTGTCACCAGCTAGGATCTCTGTGGATAAACTTTCAGATATACGTTACTGACGAGTTATAACAAGCACGAAACCTAGGTCTAAAGCTTCTTTCGGCTGTCCCGACCAACTGGAGTCAGTTGAAGTGCTTCATGATAGTAAATTTCCCTAGCTTGGTGATCACACTGCAAAATGATTGATATTATTCTTTTGGCGCCTGAGACTATACAACATTAATTTTAGTTACTCTTCAATGGCAAAGTTATGCGTTGAATAGTCTCCAAAATTATTCTTGGTATTTATATTTCCCAATAAATGTAAGACAAACCGATTTTTTTCAAATCATGTAATCTCAACTTAGTCTGCAAGATGTTTATGCGTAGAACTTGGTAACCTAATTCTGGATGGTTATGTACTAGATTAAACACCACGCTTAATCTGTGTAAGTGCTTGTTGTTACCTCATTACCCAAAGTAAAGTAGGCGGAATAAAGTTCTGGTCTGCAACCTGAGGGATTCAAATTTATACTGTAATAGTTTTCTTTAACTTTTATAGTACTCCGTGCTCAACCGAATACTGATTGGTCACTGCTCAATTATTATGCATTTGTTGAGGTAGGTGCATTATTACCCCTAAAAAGTTTTGATGAATTTTTAAGTGTTTTTAAGAAAATGTACTCACCTTTTTGCTGTATCTCCACTAGCTGTCATCAGTGAGGATCTCTTTCCATTTAGGACTCATTCTCATCCTATGAAATAAACCTTTAAAATGCTTCGTTCTGTATTTAATAACAGTTTATTTTCACTTTAAAGGCTAACTGAGGGAACTAGTTGTTAAGAGTTAATCGGCAGGAAGCTATGAATTGACATTTCGTGCCTGTTGACACTCATCATCAGCAGAGCATATGTACAACCATGAAGAACTCGGTGTGTTCTCTATGATTTGAACCCGCGCTATTGATTTTAGAGGTCAGATGCTTTACAACCAGATTATTCAGGTCATTTTTAACTCTTTGTAAGACTCAATTAGGTACACAAACTCGTCATTAGTGGGTTTTCAATGTAGCCGCCCAGTGTTTGACGCTCACGCAACTTAATGGCCATATTACAAACTTGCTCGATAAACTGCTGTCAGCTTTCAGTATTAATGACTAGACAGATAAATCGGTTATCCAATGGTGATCTATTCGTATAACTAACGGCATTATTGTGTTTCAATTCAGATTACCATTTTTCTACCTTTGCACTCAATTGTCTGACAAAATGCCATTATCTTTTTCTATCGTCTTCTGTAGGCAAAACATGCTGAGAATAAAGAACGCGCTCGTTCTCTGTGGACAAGCTTAATGAAGTTGCCTGGACATGGAACAAGAGCTGAATTCTGGATAGCTTATATTCAATTTGAACAGTAAATAGTCACATTTGAATGCTTTTTAGTTATTTTATACTTATTCTTTTCACTGCACTTGAAACCGACTGCTAAAACGTCTTATGTTTTACATTATTTATCATATTCAGTGTAGATATCTACATAGCCATTGTATTTTGTAGTTATCGTCAGATTTTGTTCCTATCAAAAGCGGAGTTGGTCTTCAAGGTAAGAAAAAAATTGACCGTATTAAACTTGCTAGATACGGTGAACATAGGAAAACGACTTTATCAAAGTAGTTTTCATAGGAGACTGATATCAGCTGGATGAAAAAGTAGACTCTATCAGCAACCACTTGTCTGCTCATATACTAGGAAATGATCTCTACTTACTGGGTGAAGGCTGATTGTAATACTTGGCTACCCAAAGCTCGGTAAGTAAAACGAGGCTGATATCTGTGACCTACTTTTCTAAAGTCGACTGCCTAGATCAATGAGCTACAGCTCCACATGACGGCAGCTGGGGAATCTTTGAAAGTCTAGAAGAACTGGAGATGTTTTCTATAGTTCTCAAACTAGCATCAATCCGTAATGAGATCTGTTTTGAAACCAACCAATCAATCTCAACGAAACTCTTATACAACTGTTAGTTGGTACCTTGCTGTGGTGGTTGGACTTGCATGTCACAGTGACCCAATAAATTGTGCTAGTGGGAACATTTGTTTTTTGGCGAACTGTCATACCAGAAAGGTTCGTTGAGTATTGGTGTGGTGTGAATAAACATACTCTGATGGGAGTCTTAGGGACGAAGTCTCATTGTTGATATTTGTTTGGTCGGTTATTTAAAGTAGCTTGTAAATATTATTTTCCGTATTCTGGATTGAATGTAACCAATATATTTCTGTTTTTTAGCAACAACTAAGGAGATTGTTACTACTTATTGATATGCTTGTAATTCTCCGTTGTTTTATTGGATCGAATAGTTCGATCTCTATTGGCATACGGTTACTACGCGTCGATGTTGCCTGAATGTCAATTATGACTATTTAGTTGGTTATGGCCAGCAGAGGAATCCAGGATGCGCGTTTAATCCTATTTGGTACCAATCAGTTGGATTTACCTACAGTCCATTGAGTGACGTTGTTCCCACCGAGACTCGAATCTCCTACCTATCTCTTCAAACGCCAAAGCGTTATCCATCATGCCACGGAAGAACGATAAGCACTTCCTGTACAATGGCTAGTAGTTATTACTATTTAATAATATACTTATTACTCTCTGTCGTTTTATCGGATCGAATTGTTCGAGATCGATGGCAAATAATGAAGTGAGAAGAATGCCATCCTTTGTTTTACATGTACGACTTTAAATCATTCGGCATGCTAATGTAATGTCGATTGTACCATCGTAGGTGAAGTTTACAGGATGAAAATATGTTTGTTCGTATTCAGTCATTCTTATGTATGAAAATTGGCCTGCTTATAGTTGAGCTAATCAGGGAAAGAGGTTAATATTTCGTTTTGAGTTTCAGACTAAGAACTCTGTGAATGTATATCGTTTAATGTCACGGAGCTTAGTTTGACACAAATCACTTCTTTTTGCTGCATTCTTTGTCAATTACCGTGCGACGCCATTACAAAAACAATGCAGTATTGCTATGTAACTCACCGATCACCTAAAAGTTAGTGTATTAGGTGACTAGCCACACCTATTATGAAAGTTAATGATACAGTCTTGTTGCCTAGACTTTGATAGGTGGAGCGGAAGTCGAACTCGCAGTCCATTGGTTGAAAATTGGCCGCTTAGATCAGCGAACCATTGCTCCACGTAGGGATCTAGCTTAATTATTCGCAATACCTTCCGTCTATTCAAGTATAGTGTATATCAACATTAGAGCCCAATTCATTTGAGTTTATCCGCTCACTGTTTTCTATTTCACTACATTTTAGAAATTGGGGTGACATAAAAAACTTACTCCGTGTTTGTGGCATGGCTATCAATTCAATTACCTCAGATCATTCAGAATTATTATTTCAAGTTGTTCTATGTGCTATTGGTGAAATTGGAGTACCTGTTAAGCAGTATAGAGATATTGTCGTAAAAATAAACACACGTCGAGGTTTACTAACGGATTCAACTAAAGATAACCAGTCGAAGAAATCAAATGTTGAGGTTAGTGATTGTTATATGATATACTTGATTCAGTGTGCAATTATTTATTCGCTTCAAAGTGATTTGACCGTAGATTTACGTTAACTAGAGAACCAGTAAAGACCGAAAAGCAGTGAGCAAGATAACTATCTTAGTGTAGGACGAATCTACCAGTGTATATTTGCCACCATCGGATCGGATCTACGACTACCAGGTATCTCTTAGCGAACATGTCACCAATTCAGGAATGCAGTGATTCACATTTTACCACTCCATCAATTCGTGATTTAATGCAACATTCATGCAATGTCATGGAGCTGCATCTGAAATCGCTGTCAAATCCGTATACTCCATTAGTCACAGTATATATAAGTTTGTCTAGAGGCATCATCATAGAACAGAGTATAGAATGGCAATCAACCCTCTACCTCAACTTCATCGACTTTGAAAAGGCCTTCGACAGCGTATACCCAGAAGTAATTTGGCAGTTGCTTCAACACTACGGTTTTAGTACCACAAACCTTTATCAATCTCATTCAACAACCATATGAAGACGCCACATGCCAAGTAATTCACAATGGAAAGCTCAGCAACGCCTTTGAAATGAAGACAGGAGTAAAAGAAAGCTGTCCACTATTACCGATCATCTTCGTGATTATGGTGGACTGGATCATGCAGCAAACAGTGATGAGCGAGAAGATAGGTATACTCTGGACCGCGGAAAAGAAACTAGAAGATTTGGATTTCGCCGATAACTTATGTCTGATGTCACACAAACTTGAAGATCTACAGGTGAAACAAAGTTGACAGAAGAGGCGAGGCAGGGCAGCGTAGGAAGACGGGACTTCAAGTGAGGGTAGAGAAGACGGAGGTGATGAAGATACCCAACCAACACGATCAACCACAACAAGCTCCAATCACCATGAACGTTAGTAACTTAAAGGAAGTTGTCTCTTTCACCTATGTAGGCAGCACTGTTTCAACTGCAGTTGGCGGCACAGACGAGGACGTCAAAGCCAGCCGGGATTGGAAAAGCGAGACAGGCGTTCATTAGCCTGAAACCAGTATGGAGATCTTCTGCACTCAGCATGAAGCGTGAACAAGATCCGGATTTCCAACGTCAGTTCAATCAAGTCAGTGTTGCTGTGTGGTTGAGAAACTTGGCATGTCACGAAAAGCCTTTTCAACGAACTGCAGACATTCACCAACAGCTGCCGCCTACACTTACTCCATACTGAAGATCAGATGGTTAGAAAGAAAAAACAACAAGGAAGTGTAGGAACGAACCAACCAAGAAGCTATCGCTGAACAAATATGCAGAAGAAGAGAGTGGAGATGGATTGGGCGTATACTGAGAAGGTTGACTGTGGACATCACGCGTCAGGCCAGGCGGTCGAGTGGAATCCAAAGGGGAAACGACGAGTTGGGCGTCCGAGGTGAGGGTGACATGGAGGAGATGATGTGAAGAAATGAGAGCTTGTGGGTTGTCGTGGATCCAGGTTCAAATGTTTGCAGTGAACAGTGTGTATTGGAGACGTGCTAGTGAAGCCCTATGTTCCATTAGGAACCCAAGGGATGAATAATAAATAATAATAAGAAGAATAATAAGGGGTGAACAGGACACGACCATTGAAAGTGAGCAAGGCTCCAAATGTTTAATCACCTTTGCTTTGTAAGCACTGTTGCGTATTGCAAAACCACAGTATTGGTAATATAAACGCTAAGAGTAGCCTAAGTTGAGTCAAGTCAAGTCAGTTGATGAAGTGAATGGGACCTGTAGTACACATAACTGATAACTGTTTACTCCGAAGTTTGATGTTAACTGAAGTAGTTTTCGTCCATCTAAGAAAAGGTTGAAGATCAAACTTCTCGAAAATACTGAAAGCCAATTAGTGTAAACCTTAAGTTGTATAGTTGAAGATTACATCCATCGCATTGACAATATCTCTGTCACAACTATATCACGTTACCTTGTTCGTTTTGTCTTACGCTTTTCTACGCCTTTTGATTGTATCATTTCTGTTTCTCTGTTTCCTTCGTCTTGTTTTCTTGACAAATGCTATTGGAAATGTGGAAACTTGAATCGTTACGCAGAAATGCCAAATCCTATATTAATGCTGACTAACTTAAATGAACGAAAAAAGATTGAAGTATCCGTCATTCATCAGTAGCCTTACTCTCGAACCGTACTAGAAGATACCTAGATCTAGTAAGTGTCATATTCCCTTGGGTCTGAAACACTAGGTCCTCATCAAAATATATCTAGATTATTATTCACCTTACTGAGTCAAATTCAATAGCTGTCACATCAGGATAACACATAAAATCCGGTACTCAGACTATCGGACAAACTTTTTAACATCGTCATGTGGCGCGAGCCGAGAATAGGTACACAAACGCATATATTTCTTAGAAATTGAATCTAGTAGTCACTACAATGTATGCAAAAATATACCGCAGAATTAAATTCATTCATCAACACTCTATCATTGAATAGTCAGTAAGGAGTTCGTTAGTGCTACTGATTCATCATAGTTACTTTGTAAGTCATGCCAAATTTTATTCCTCTTTCCTGTTGATTTGTCTATCAATTAAGAAAAAGTGTGAAGTAATTCACCATCCTAGGAACTGCACTTATGACAGTTTTTATACAGTTAATGAAACTTCAATCTTCACAAACCTCTAGATAGAACAGAAAGTTTAATAAACTCGTTAATAACTCTTCATAACTGATAATGTTCCAACAAATTATTCAAACGAAGACAGGTGCCTTCTTCAGAATGATGTTTAATGTAATAACAATAATAATAATAATAATAATCGCTTTATTCTAAACATGTGTGATACATTCAGGAATTTTTCCAGCGAATATGCTTCCCGTACAATATTTCTAAAAGAAATAATTATTACATCTGAATAGTGTTAATAATAACGGTATTAAAGAAGGTACTAGTGTGAAACAGGTAGCTGGCGCTACATTAGCGTCTGATCTGGGCTTGGGGATGAAAACAAAATGGAGTGTAATTATCGTTGTGTTATTTCAGTCAGCCAGCATAAAAATCTGAAAATCAATGTAGGTATCCTAGGAAAAGTAATGTGCTGTATTTTTCAGCATTTATATGTCCATTTCCATCATATGTAACGTTTTTTCTTCATTTCGTTCTAAGCTTGAGGATCGACTGTTTTGAAACATTTTAAAAAGGTGCGAGATTAAATGATACATTTAGAAGACATATTTTAAAGATTAAAACAAACTAGAAGGGAAGAATCTGATGAAATGTATTCGGTTGAAAAAAAAGATTGTTGGTAGCCCAAGGTTTAAGTAGGCCACAGACGTCTTTTCTAGTCTTGTATTGAATTTAGTAGAAACCTCTACAATCTTTACTGGCTATTTTTTTTCTAAACCACTTAAATATATACTTGCAACTTCGTTTTTCCCATAATCCATATGAAAGGCAGTTGTTCGAAAGTCTATTTCTTTTCACGGTTAGTTAATTTGACATTGCTGGCGGGTGTAAATTAATTATACGTCTCATTTCTGTACTCAGTAATTAGTCTTTCGAAGGTTGGAAGTATGATATTGTGTTTTTTCATCTTATTGTAAAATTGTTCAAAGATGCACACAGGATTCTGGAATTTCTTACGGTTAATCGCCTTGATGAACTTGAATAATGCAATAAGAGTAATATTTGTAGAATAAAGTGAAATCATCTGTTTTACAGGGTTTTCATCAGCTGCATACAACCCAAATAAGTAAATAAATAATCAATTCAGTGGCGTCTTGTATAGAAAGTCCTATGAGACCAGTGTCAGCTTATATATTCATGGGAAGTCTGAAAAGACCTACTCAGAAACCCGTTATTGATGCGTGTACATTTTATATGTGGTAGGTCAATGATACCTTTGTTATTTGCCACAGCGTACATCAAGAACTCGATACGATACCAATATTTCACAGTGGGATTGTCCCTTAACCAATGGCATACCCTACCACATAGAGCACACATGGTGTGTAGTTTGCATACTCGAAGCCTCTACAGTTATCAACGAACAGAAGACTTCAAGTATTATTTCACACTGCGACAGTTCCCAAAGGGTAACTTTTGATTATAGTATATGATAAAATTGACGAGGTCTTTCAAAGAATCTCTAAGACGCTAAAGCTTTTCACACCCAGCCATTTTGCTTTGATGTTTTGAAAAAGACACGTAGTCATGCGCCTAAATATCAAATTGATTGGATGGCGAAATCTATGGGAGGTGTTCTAGAAAAGCCAGAAAATGGCCAAGGTCACTGTAGATTCATGTAGACCGTTATGTTTTGGACGTTTATTTACATTTAACGTTTACTCAATCTGTCAACCAATGAGAAACATGTTAAATAACAATAAAATCAGAGTTGACTTCTGCCTGGCAGTCAGTCGATATACATATGGAAACTATGACAAGATCATCTCAAAAACATCCAATCGCTGACATATCTTCATTGGGACACGACTGGATAGGCAGAACATTTCAAGGAACAGTTTAACTGGCCTCCAGCTACCATTGCGTTACCCCGCTATCCAGTGGGATCCTGAATGAAACATTGAGATAGGCCTCCCAACACTTGCAGAAGTCACACAATGTAGGCTGAAGAAGGTTCAGGGTAGAAAAGGCTCGAGGCGGCCAGACTAAAACATTACACCAATGGATGAAGGCCTTGACTATTCACTTGAGCCATGTAGGCCGATGTAGACTAGCAGGTTGGTATCCGAGGGACAAGAGAAACCAATGATTGGAGACTAACTCAGGTGATCCATAATGGCTGAGAACCGATGTCAGTTTCACAAGTGTATATACACATTATCTTCATCTTAACGCTATACGCAACCTCACCATTTTCTCATTCTTCCTTTCTCTCTTTTAGTACTTTATATTTCTCTTGACTGAATTTTCCTTCTTTCATCTTCTACTTCACCTCATTTTTACTTGATGTATTGATATGAGCTGTGGTAGCTCAAAGGGTTACACAGTAATGCCTGGTCCTATGTTAATTTGGCTGGATGGACAACTGGTTCGGCATGGAAGTTTACCAACTGCCCTAGGTTAACCGTCCGTGTTTGCCAATCTGACGACGCTGACCGACATATGCTACCTCCCTTTTACTTATCTGGAAACACCTACACCACATGAAGTCAATGAACAAGACTTCTTTGATAAAGATTACGAGTTTGGGCACACAAAACTATTTGGAGAGAATGACACAATTTTGTTTGAGAAATGTCAAAACGTATGATTAATTTAGTTGTTAAGAGGGTTGTTTAGCTGTAGCTTACATTGCATGGTAATTCTCGTTAATGTGCATTCTAAGTAAAAGTTCCTGTGTAGTAACACATATATGTTTATTTGTTTTCAACTTGTGTTAGAAAAAAAGCACTCACAGTTTTCAAGTTAAGATATGTATATCAAGGTTGCTAATTAATTTTTTGCTGAATGTCATCTTTAATTTTTCACAGGTTGCGAAATCAACAACAGATCATAACTTGCCTAATGCCAAGAAAAGAAAACTACCCCAGCAACAGAGTGATTCTAGTCAGTCAACAGCTGCAAAAGTTAGTTCAAACATTTTAGCTATCTATTGAAAGTAGAATGTGCGCCTGTTTTGTGTTTATTGTGTTATGAATAAACATATATTCCCTAGCAGTGTTTAGTTGCCATCCATCCTTTCAATTCGAAGCAGTTAGTGGTACATCTTGAGTTAAACTAGATGCCATCTGACAAAGGTCTGTGAAATTTTCTTCGAGCTACTTAGATATGATGGCAATAGCTGGTGGGAATCAATAATGGTGAATTTTAAGTAATCAATCACTCATAATTGTTTCCACTTATTGTTTGACATTCAATCCATAAGGTGCTTAAGACTAATGATCTACAAACTAAGGTGAAATTTTTGGCCTAGCATAGATTAGTTGCGATTAATTTGGTAGTTGATCGTACTACTTCAGAAGGTATCCTGCTATAGTTGTTCCATTTCGCTCTGTTATTTATCATGTAATTTACTACTAAAACCTAGGTGAAAAAAAGGATCAGAAGAAAAGAGAGTACATGTTTCATTAGGTAATTTGCCATTTGTATCACTCACACATATACCTACAGTCAAGCCATACACTGGGTAACTTGAGTATGCGACTCACCGGTCTGAGTACTCGACTTTCAAGCAATGCATCTCGGGTTCAAACGCCACGCCACCTACTTTGATTTGGGCAGCTAGATAGAGTATCATAAACACCCACACACTGAGTACGGTTCATAAATGAGTACGGATTGTGCCGAGTTGAGTTGCATTGTATAATGTTGATTTGTAGACTGTTTAAAGGCTCATGTAGCCTAGTTGTTAGAAATCACGATTTTAATTGGTTTTCTCTTAAAACCCTACCCTCCTAACATCTGTTTTTTAGACATCCAGCTAAGTTAACTTACTTTTCAGTACAAAAATGTTATCATCATCTTGAAGAGAATTTTAAAAGTATGAAGGTCGGAATGAGAACTATCAGTAGCATACCAGAGATTTGATGAGAAGACGAAACATTGAAAGGTGACATCGATCAAGTTAGGGTAGTCAGTATGAGATGAAATTACTCAATGAAAATAACAGTTTATACTTGTAGTCGTAAAGAAAATCAAAGATTGATTATTATTCACTTGTATACATGTGCACTAGGATGAAAGTGCTTGGTTTTAATAGTATCTGCAAAGGTTTCTACAATCTCTCTACCTTCACTTCTGACGGATTTCTCTGTAGTTAAGCGAAGCTAGTGTAGTTTCTAGTAAGCTTGCGCTTTTCCCTTTGTATTACCTGATGATATGAAAAGTGCGTAGCAGTTTCTTACTGTAGAGAACTACAAGGCTTCGATTTGAAACAGAATTTAATTGGATATTGACTCATATTTGTGTGTTTGTGAACTTTTCCCTTCGAACATATTGTTCGCAAAATGAATGGCTTATATTAGTTCAGAATATAGAAGTTATAAAAATAACTCCGGGTGAGATAAACGGCTAAATTACACAGAATATGATGTAGTTCCACACCAGTCCAAGTTGTAGCATATCAGCACGGTAAAAATAAAATCGACAAGCATAAAGATGATGAACTTCCGAGATATACCAAAAGGTGAGTGCCACTGATTTTCAATTATATCACAACTTTTCAAAAATCAACCCCAATTACAACACAAACTCTATCCAGAAAGTTTTCAGTTCCCTACGTAGCTTATACGAATAATTAGAAACTGCTTATATTGATAAAATGCGGCGGTCTATTCAATTTAACCAATAGATGTTAAATACCACAATAAAGTTTTTTTGTGACTGACATGATTTCACTTACTTATGCTTGAAGGTACCTAAAACTGAGCCAACATCTCATGGAACGTTTGTTCCTCATGATCCGTCTAAAAATGACCTAACGGTATTTGTCAGTAATCTTGATTATTCAACCAGTGAAGATCAATTACGAAAAACATTTGAGAAGGTGAGTTCTCTTTTTTCTGTATAAAAATCTTACTCATAAATGCATTTTGTTGTATTGCAACTTTGTTAAATTTGGTTTTAGAAGACGAATTTTTTGTTCCTCATGATAGGCAGAACTATCATCACAGGTGCTTCTCTAAAAGACAAATTGACTGTCAAATATTTTTGATTATGACGCAACGGTAATTCATAGAAGTAGATACCTAATTCTCGCTTATTACTGAGCCATAGGTTCAGATCAGCTTCGTCTACTATGTTTTGTGTGTCATCATCAGCATCAATGTAGGGCTGGGCGCTCAACACGTCGAGCGAGAAGGCCCTAAAGTGAAAGATAAATAAGTATGAAAGAATCGATCAAAAACAGTGAAAATTTACGAGAGATGAGAAAGGAATATAAAAATATTGAATTCAGAATGACGATTAAGATAAAAATGATGTGTGGATAAATCTGCGTCATTGACATCGTTTTTCAGCCATGTCACCTAGTCTGCAACCACTGGTTCCTATTGTCACACGGCCCCTAACCGAAAAGTTTACATTTTCCGCACGTGACTTAAACAAACAGCCAAAGACTAATAATTAATGCTGTGTTTTTTTCAGTTGGTGGGGAGTCTACTGGGTGTGGGGTTAACAGAACTCAGCAGAAACCCCTTATACTCTTTAGGAAGGTGTGTTGGCTACTTTGCATCACTGAGTAGCCTCAATTAGAGACGTTACAGTAGGACTACTATTTGTAGATGGTTTAATAGGACGTGGTCTTCCGAATCAAATAATCATGCTTTACAACTAAAGAAAATTAGAAAAACAATGGTTATTCTTTACCAGTTGGTAAGTGACGCCAACAGTGGGAAGCAGATGGCGATCAGTTGATTACTGGTTAGTGGCTGATTGGTGTATCCTTTCTACATACCCGTAATTTCGCCTAACCTTAGCCTGATATTTCCTTATAACCTTGAAACAAGTTTATCATTGCTGTTTTCGTGCCGTCCTGTGTTGTGATGCCCCAGTTTTGTATAAAACATTGTTATCAATCCGAACATTTTACGTGTCATTCCCACATTATTTTTACGGTATGACTAATAGTCTATTCTGCTCCCATTGTAATGTAATTCGCTGATTGGTTAACTTTTACTCTTACTATGCGGATTTCTCCAATTGCGGACAAGGTCAGTTTTCATGTGTATACTTATTCCCGTGTTTTGGATTGATTCATTGTCATTATATTATATTCTCGGAGTAATATACACTCTCCCATCTGTCAGCTTGGTCTTCTCTCTATTCGTCCCGGGGTTGCAGCCAGTGTCTCTTGCGTACCAAGTAGCTGTCAGCTAAGCGCGCGTATTATATTCGTCTCGGAATATATACATATACCATTATTATTATTATTATTATTATTATTATTATTATTATTATTATTATTATTATTATTATTAGTCCCTTGGGTTCCTAGTGGAACATAGGGCTTCAGTAGCACTTCTCCAGTGAATTCTGTTCTCTGAGATCTTTTGAACCTGGTTCCACGACAGCCCAGAAGCTCTCATTTCCTCCTCGCACGACCTCCTCCATGTCTCCCTCGGACGTCCAACTCGTCGCTTCCCATGGGGATTCCACTCGAGGGCCTGACGCGTGATGTCCTCAGTCGGCCTTCTCAGTGCATGCCAATCCATCTCCACTTCCTCCTGCATAATTGTTGCATGATAGGTTCTTGGTTGGTTCGTTCCCAGAGCTCCTTGTTGCTTATTCTTTCTGGCAATCCATCTGAGCTTCAGTAGCGAGCGTAAGCAGTTGTTGATGAATGTCTGTAGTTTATTGGAAATGCCTTTCGTGACACGCCAAGTCTCTGAGCCATACAGAAGCACTGACTTGACGTTGGTGTTGAAAATCCGGATGTTGTTCCGCATGCTGAGTGCAGAAGACCTTCACACTGTTTTCGGCATACATATACAATTAGCACTTCGAAACCATAACATCCTGGTACGGTTCTTGACATTTGGTTTTCTCATTGATTGTTAACTCTTTTAACATATCAGTGAATTTAGTGTTTGTCAAGGTTGTTTAGAATGTATATTCAGCATCCCTATCATCTGTTTTTGACTGTTGTTGGGGCAGTAAAAGCTTTCTGTCAATGGTCTGTTTTCTTTTCTTATCTTCACGTGTCGGTGGTTTTGATGCTGTGGTGGTTGACATTTTGATTAGCGTTTAGAGTACGTTCGTTTGCGCATTAGGTTCGTATAGCTCGTAGACTGCTACTTCGCATTTCCTGTTCATAGTAATCTTTGAGCTGAATGTTCTCAAATAATTATGGTATGTAACATATATGCGACCAACCAACTTCTTCAGGAAAACGTTCTTTTAAACAGGTTCCTAATTTTTCACACTTCTAAAGTGTTTTTGTGGCTTAAGCAACTGTAGTCAGTTCCTTTAAGACTTCATTATTGACAGCCCGCATATAAGTATGACTTTATTCACTCAACTTTGGGCTGATTGATTCGTGTGCGAGTATTATAAGATATACATTCAGTCTAAGGGTCTCAGTGATGCCACATGTTATTCAACTCTGTTTTCATTATCATGATACTTATTCTTTCGACAGTAATAAATGATTCATTACAGTTCGATGGGAGATGTTGGTGTGAATTTGTTTCATTTATCCTAGTTTTCACCTTATTCTGATTTGAGTTGTTTACGGTGACATCAGCAGAGTGATAAGAGAAATTTTTTTAATGATGGAACAGTTCACTTTCAGTTTTCAATTTTGTGTATATTTATCGCCACCATTTCTATAATTTGACTTACAAAAGTCAGAAAAATCCTACTAGTTAATTGTTTCTAATAATTCTGGTTACACTTTTCTCTCATTAATTGTACTTATTCAACAACATCCTTCCACCGATAGCCGTGAGTGAGGCTTGTACTGACAGTTTTATGCAAACCCTCATGTCATGCATTCATACCTATCGTGTACTTTTTAAATAGGCATATTTAGGTGTTATGGCTCACCTTACCACAAAGTTTCATTGAATCATTTCGCGTACTATTCCCTAAAATAATTCTTACATTAACGGTCTGACTGAACTAAATTTGTGCTAAGTGTAGTGTTTCCAGGTCAGTAACACGCGTATTGACCTGATTAAATTACTTTGGTCCGTGTTAATTTATAAAATAACAGTGAAGAGAATTTCTTTGGAACAGCACAGATTGTTCATTTGAAAACTGCGATCGGTACTGACGAAAACATTAAACCTTTTAATCAAGTCACTAACTCAAATACACATTGACATTGACCGAATCTACCATCCAATAAGAAACAACAAAAAGATCAATGTTCACGTTGCAGGGCAACCAATCGAAATAAATATGCAGACAATGACAAGACCTTGGCAGAAACAACCAATTACACGTAAGACCATTAGGAAAAACTACTAAGCCACTTATGAAGAAAACCCTACAGCTCACTTCTTACTGAGGTGTATGCTGACGATGTTGTCTGGAATGATAATGAAAGGTTCACGACTAAACCATTGAGCTCAGAGAACACAACACCATCAAAATTATCCTCTTGAGCTACCATCTCAAAAACCTTTCAGTATTTAGCATCCTAGTGTGCAGCATACTTATTCTTTATACTTTTACTGAAGTCATCTTCTTTACTCCTAAATTTAATCAGTCGTTTGTTATTATCACTTGTGTTTTTCCAATGCTTCGCTATATACTACTGATATACTTTATTATAAGTAGCGCTCATCAGGATAGTGGTACTATATATATATATATATATATATATATATATATATATATATATATATAAGCTGGTTTCGATTCTATCAATTCTACACTCATTTTATGAAATCTGTATGTTTATATTTTTCTCTTGATAACTAGTGTGGAGAATTAACATCTGTTAGACTTGTTCGTGATTACGCTGGCCGATCCAAAGGATATGCATATGTAGAATTTAAAAATAAAGAATCTGTGAAACCTGCACTTGAATTGGATAGACAATGTGTTGTGACTGATGAAATCTCAGAAAATGAAGTTGAAAACGTTGACAGTTCAAAACAAGAAGAGGATCAGTTGACAACAGCTTCAAAATCGTCTACTTACTTTCGACGTCCAATGTTTGTGTCTATTTGTGATCCAAGCAAAGTTAAATCTGTTGGATTTAAATATACAGTTGGTAAAAAAGAACCTGAAAAATTATTTGTACGTAATTTGGATAAAAATGTAAAAAGTGAAGATTTAGAAAAACTATTTAAACAGGTTAGTTCATTTCATCTTTGATGAAGATGTATACATAGAAAGTATAAAGGTATCATTTGAAACTCCCAAATTTATTCAGATTATTGACATAAGACTCGGGTTTACGTTATTCAGATATTTTCTCAAGTTCACTTAATCGATATTTCACCATACCATATGAAATTCGACGATGAGGTCGAGGCTTAGATAAGTATATTTCAGAAACGAGGTAAATTTTACTCTAAGAAAACTTGAGAAATTAACTGACTTCTCAACTCCATGTCATTCAGTAATGAACAACTTACTTGAAATCAATAAAATTCCTACAAATCTCTAAATTGAATTCATTATAGCCTACATGTTTCTTTGACGGAATCCTAAATGTTATTTGTTTGGTGTTCTCTGAGCTCTGGGGTGTTTGTTCTTGGAATTTTCATCACCAGGTTAGACTACTTCACTAGCATTTATTTCATGAAGAAGTTGTTTCGTAGATATTCATATATGAAGAAATGTTTTCTTCAGGTGGTTACCAAACTTCTTTCATTTCTGTTCATTAACAAGCGCTCTGCGCTTGAGAGCCTTTAAGATAGTAGAGAAGATCTGCAGCTGGAGATGAAGGTGATAATTCTGTGATGTTCTCTAAGCTTTGAGGTTTGTTCTAAGGAGTTTCATCACCAGGCTAGACGACTTCATCGGTATTTATTTCATAAAGAAAAAGACGAATTCTGACACCAACATAATTTGCTTTTATGGCGTTTGCTTCATTATCAATGATAGGGCGTTAAGTGATGGAATGTGTCGACCACTTCATCAACCCGAACGGGCTGGCTGCTGACGAAATCTCAACTCGGATACAGAAACTCCGTTTGGTATTCGCCAACGTACGTCACCTGTGGCGCGGACTGGCGAAATATCCGACTATCCATCAGTGGACAAGTATATTACACTGCAGTCCGTTCTATCCTTCTGTGCAGCTGGGAGACGGCCGTTAAAAGTAGAAGACATGGAGCAGTTGCAGGGTTTCGATCATGGGTGTCTTCGTAGTATCGCTCGCGTTTAGTGGGACCACCGTGTAAGCAATGTTGAGGTCGGTTCATAGGTTGGTGCATGTCCGACTGCAAACTGCATGGACATTTCTCACATTCAAGTTATCATCGTATTTATAAATGAGTATGGAAGCTGAAAATATTTCGGATTTAATACCTGATAAATTCGTATTTTTCTGTGCATCTTTCTTCTAGTATGGAGAAGTTGTGAGTATTCGTCTGGCAACATATCGTAATGGTGTTCCTAAAGGTCATGCTTATATTGAATTTTCAAATGCAAATGATGCTAGTAAGGCGTTGGTTGCTACAGATGGTCTAAAATTTGGAAGCAAGCTGATATCAGTAGCTATCAGTGAACCACCTGTTCGTGGAAATGTATCCCAAAGTTTTCACCCGTCGTCAACAGAAGGCAGTGAAACCTTTAAAACTCCTCACATGATTAGTTCAAATAGGTCTGATACTGTTGGAGCTTCTATGTAGGTCGAAATTGTTCGCTTTTTTTCTTTTCTTTTTTAAATTAAATATTAATTGAAAGTTTTTTTTTGGTGGGGGAGGGAGATTAACTGCGTTTCAAAAGATTTCAATACAATTAGTTGAATGCAAATAAACGAAATTACCATTTCTTTAGAGAACTTGTCTATTTCAGTCTTACTGAAAAAGTGACTTTCTGAATTGCACTTGTGTGAATAAGCTGAAGATTGAGTGCTATTTAAGACGAGCCGAACAAATGTGCTGTGTGTATAGTATTTATCAAGCCAATATAAACGACTGACATCTATCTTAATATCGCTTTCATCACATCTTTCAGACCACCACTCACTTCTGTTGGTGGTCTCATTGTCATTTTGGTTTCATACTTTTTAAACATAATTTTCGATGCGAATTATGTCGCTCACCAATAATGTTTATCCAAATTTTTTTTATATGTGTTATCACTAACAAGATAATTAATTAATTAAGTCTTGAGTACAAATTTTTTATTGATATTCGTGAGGTCATCCAGTGTCAACCAGTTTCATAAAAAGTAGATAGAAATTTACAAAATGCAGAAGTCGTCAAATAAAACAAGCGCACTAGAGAAACTAATAAGGGTTCAGTATTTGTACGCTGTAATTTGACAGCCACTTCCACACTACGGAGTACCATAAACCCTTATCAATCTCATTCAACAGCTATATGAAGACGCTACATACCAAGTGATTCACAATCGAAAGCTCAGTGATGCCTTTAAAATGGAGACAGGCGTAAGACAAGGTTGCCCACTTTCACCGATCATCTTCCTGATTGTAGTGGACTGGATCATACAACAAACTGTGATAAGGGAGAAGAGGGGCGTGCGCTGGTTGGATCGATGAAAAGACCGTAGAAGATTTGGATTTCGCCAACGATGATGATTTATGTCTAATGTCGCAAAAACTCGAAGATCTACAGACGAAAACCTAACAAGTTGGCAGAAAAGGCGAAGCAGCGAAGACAGGATTTCCTTCAGGTGAACGTAGAGAAGACACAGGTGATGAAGATACCCAACCAACAGCAAGCACCAATCATCATGAACGTGAGAAACCTGAAGGAAGTCTCTTTCACCTACCTACCTAGGCAGCATCGTTTCAACTACAGGTGGCACAGGCACAGATGAGGATATCAAAGCCAAAATCGGAAAGACAGCAAGACAGGCCTTTCTTCATTGTTCTGAAATCAGTGTGGAGATCTACTGCACTCAGCAAAAAGAATAAGATCCGGGTTTTCAACAGCAATGTCAAGTCAGTGCTTCTATATGTTTCAGAAACTCGGCGCGTTACGAAAAGCACATCTAATAAACTACAGACATTCATCAACAGCTGTCTACGCTCGATACTGAAGATGGAGATCAGAGGGCCAGAAAGGATAAGCAACAAGGAACTCTAGCTGACTGGCGACGAAACAACCAAAAGATATGCAGAAGAAAATGGAGATGGATTGGATTGGACATACACTGAGAAGACCATTTGGGGACATCAAGTGCTATACCATGCCCTCGAGTGGAACCGGAAAGGAAAATGACGAGTTAGGCGTCCCAGAGTGATATGAAGGAGATCGTATGAAGAAGAAATAACAGTTTGTGGTCAGTTGTGGAGCCAGGTTGAAAGGCCTGGAGAGAAGAGAGTGAACTGTTAACGTGCTACTGAAGCCCTATGTTCCACTAGGAACCCAAGGGACAAACAATAAATAATAACAATAATTCCTACACTGTATTTCCAAAAGATTTAATTATTAAGAATAGACTTTCGGCATATCATCCAGGAAGTCAACATGTTTCATAAATGACTGTCTATTCGGAAAATCTAAACTCAACTAGCAGTTAGCCAACATTTGTTAACTCAACTTTCAGATAAGTTGCATGGTTGACGACTTGATTTCCCCTGATTGCTTTTCCCCAGGCACATGTAAACTCTAAGTTATTAGTTGATAATAAATAGATGCAAAGAAGCCATTAGTTCGACTGCGAACTTATGCTGCTCGTATAAGTGTATTTGTACTCTGCTCCTAATATTGCTATATTCTCACTTTCGTTTCCCGATATTCTTTCTTCTTACATACATTTGAATGATAACTGTGATAAGGATTTGTGTGAAATTCTCAGTTATAGAGAAATATTTCCAGATTAAAGCATTAAAAGGTACACAGAAACATCAAAATAGATTTCGTTGCACATAAAGATGTCCTTGTTTTCCAGAGTCATCAAAATTAACATAGGACCGGGCGTTACTGTGTAACTGTCCAAGTTGTCACACCTCATTTCAGCACATCAAGTAATAAGGCAACAAAATGGAAGATGAAGGGAAAAAATCGGTTAAAGGGAGTAGATAGTAGTAATAGAGAGAAAGGAGTGATTAGGAAATGATGAGATTAAGTATATCGGTTAAGATTAGGATAATCTGTTTATACATCTGCGCCACTGACATCCTTTCTGAGACATATCATCTAGAGTATCCAACCACTGGTTTCTATTGTTCCGCACACCCTAACTGGTTAGTCTGTATTATCCTACATAGCTCAACTAAACAGTCAAGAACTTCATGCACTGATGTCATATTTTAGTTCGGCTGCCTCGAACCTTTTTCCAGCCTGAACATACTTCGGCCAACATTGTATGACGAGGCAGACGGTGGTTAGGCATACGTAGCACATGTCCTAGCCATCTGCTCGAATAAATCTTAGCACAAGATATCTTCTCTTTGATTTGCCTATACTTTTAGACTTCTGGTTTAGTTATCAGAAACACTCAAAGCAGACACTGGAAATCGTCGCCATTGATTTCGTTTTACCTATCCGCTGCTGTTGGAAATTATACAGTTTACATTCATAATGTGATTCTTTATAATAATAATAATACAGTTAATTGCTGTCATTTACTCCAAGTTATTAACTTATATTCTTAAATTGATGAATACCACTGAGTAACAGAATTATTTTAGGTAGTCTTAGATCTTTCTTCGTTTTATGTTATGTTTTACTGATTGTAGTTATCTTTTTTGGTTTTGTAGGCGGAAACCCCGAACTCAATTAGAGTTTTTACCACGTGCTATACATCGAACGCGTGAAGGCCAGGATTTAAAGCTGGATAATGCCGCATCGGGATCGAATGAAGCTGCCACATTTGAACCCAAATCATCCACTCCTGTTTGCAGTAAAGACAATGAATACTTCCGAAAACTTTTTATGAAGTAGTGGGGTTATTCAATTTGTTCTTGTAAAGTAAAATAATCTAATTACCTATAATTATTTTTGAGTTATGTTTGAAAGTTTATCTGGTTAACTGGTTAACTTGCGAAATGCCCTAAGCACTAGCATGCTGAAGCATTAGCTTACTTATATCTTCTATATTTATGCTATACTGATGCTTTCAAAGTGTGACGACACATTAAAGTTGATGTGATTGTTAATCTATTCGAAAACACCGTGTCGACAACTAGGGATGACATTAAAAGACAACAAATACCAACTGAAAGAACTAATAAGTTATAAGAATATTATACCTGTACGCCCAGATGAAGGATCTAGTATCATTGTTTTGGGTTGGATGGATTGTATTCATAAAATATGCCTCATTCTTAACGATGGAAGTAAATTTCTAAAATCCGGAGACCAGAAAGACAGGACAGAAGATATTGAGAATCAAATATAAAAAAAGCAGAATAGGTCGAAGATTGATACTCATAAACTTCTACTCCAATGACTAGCGACTAAAAATGTCAGTTACTGCTTTGGTCACTTCTGACCGACATGTTCCTGTTCATTTTGACTCCACCGCACCACATAGTTGTCGACTATGAAAAGTCAGAAACGCCATGAATAATAATCAGCTGTGACACTAAATTAGCTAGGATTCCTTTGAATGATTCATTTTATCAACCCTTAGATGTAGGTGGTGTCATTCAATATGACATTTCATTAGAGAAGTCATTGATGTTCCAGCTAGGAGTCTATCAGAGTATCTGTTCTCGGCAATATTGCTCTCTAGAGTGGTAATTTTTTCCATAATCTTGTAGAATAAATGTAGGATAACGTCACACCCTTAGTTAAAAATGTATCTCCTTTTGGAATTCGTTAGACTGACGAAAACTTGTTAAGATTACAGCAACAAGTATTGATAAAGATCACAAAGATGTTTTCTGGAGGGGCTATTTATAATCAGATGAATGAGTGGAACGAATAAATCGGGGTAGTTACACTTTTTGGTAATCTGTTAAGCAGTTGTTGGGCACATTTTCAAAATGTTTTGATATTAGAATCATAGGACTTACTGTCTAGCTGTTTATAATTTCAAAAAACTTGGAAGCGATGGCTATCGGGTGACTTTTAAAGCCAATCTAGTAACTGCTGAAATAACCAGTCAGGTTACTATCTTCCGGCTAGGAAAGGAGCTTTACATTAAACAAAGAAAAGCCATTGGTTATGTCACCACTTGCTAGGTAGCCTTTATAGTTATAGCCTGTCGTCGATGTGTGATTCATAATTAGGACCATTTGTTACTAACATGTGTTTAAATGCGATGGAACGGGTCACTGTTTGATCGCGCTTAGTTTTTGAAAGCAAAGACTAGGTATAAGATTGCTAATCGGCAGTGATTCGGCTATGTATAGATGATACAGTTGAAGGTCTTTGGAAATGTGAGAGGACCCTTCGTAAATTGCTTTAAAGAAACTACTAGGAGGAGACTTGTCTGAAAGTGGTATGATATCCCAATAGAAAACGGTTATCCATCTAGGTTTGTTGACTGTGACACGAAAGAAAAGCAGTAAATTCAAAATTTATTGACTATCTCAGCCTGGAATTAAGAGGTTACATTACGGCTGAAATCCTCTAGAATCACCTCTCAAGAACTTTAAGTAAGATACTCAAGGCAGCCTGAAAATCACATTTTCCAGTAGGCAATTAATTCAACAATGCGTTGAGGAGAGAATATTTCTTTTGGCCACCTCAGTGTGCTTCGTTCAGTTTACTTATTCCTGTGGAGCCACGTACACAGCGTCGAGTCCGTTTAGAAAAATTTCCAATTTGATTACCGCATATAGCGAGAAAAAATATCAATAGTCCTATTCTTAAACAACTGTGGGGATCTTTTTCCTCCTATCAGTTTCTTGAGACCAGTTTATAGAGTGCGTTCCCACAATTCCAATGACCTTCAACTGCATCATCCATACATAGCCGAATCATTAGCGATTCGCAATCTTACATCTGGTCATTGTGTTCGAAAACTGTACTTGTATTCATTGGTATTACTATGACCAAAGTAGTAGAAACTTCCATGCTGTTCTTGAACATTTTAGTAGTTACGTCAACCTGATGGTTAACAATAGACTGTTATTTGTTTCCAATGATTTTAAAAAGGAATATACACCCTTTGCAAGTGAATGCATTGAATTTCCCCGTTGTCCTCGCAACATTTAGGAAATAACCAGATGATTCTGTGTTTGGGAAATCTACTATTAAGTACGTCACAAATAGTTAGGTTTGCAGCATATAAATGATTTTACTACATGTTTCTCACTAGGCGTTGTAAGTCAGAGTTACGATGTCACCCAGAAAGTATGAAACATACATGATTGTGACTTCACGGTTGGTGAGTACAAAAGTCATATTGATGCAAGCCCATGAAATTGTTTCTCTGGAGTTATTTAGTCAAACATTCCCACCTTTCTAGATGTCGTATTACCTTGAGGAGGTTGTGAACCATAGTATGACAGCTTCGTCCGCACATTTCGGTTTCTTGGTGGGATAAGAAGGGTACGCGATTCCTTTCTGTCTACCGATTTGTGTTCTTTACTCATCTCACACTCGTGGGTATTTGGTAAATACAAAGAATTAATTCGCGATTATCCTCTTAGTGTGTCCAGATGGCGTGTGACAAACTGGTGAAGCTGTTATTGTTTTGCATCTCTACAGTTTTCCATATTTATGAGTGCTAATTCTTTTCTTGCCTTGTTCACTCTGTTTGATGTTGCCGTTGTACCGTTGTTCATTTCTGTTACAGTCGTATCCTGTACATCAGTTGACATCCTTAGATATCAGTACCCTTCCAAGTTCATGACTGTGTTCGTCTCCCCTCAGTTGTTTCCCTGACAATCCATTTCACCTAGAACATCATCTAGGAAGTTCGTGGTTTTTCCATATTCTTCTCTGGTTTGCTTTGGACACAGCTTTGCTGCTTACAGAGCTGGCGCACTTCACATTGGGTGCTTTTGAAGACGATAAGCTTCGAGACATTTCATAATTAGAGGTTTTTAATTTATCAGGCATTGTCCATTCATATGCCGCCGTACTTCAGACAAATTCTGTGTTTTGAATCTTATGCACATTACGGATGTTTGGTTTATTTGTTAAAAAATCGCTCGACCACCTTGGCTTCGAATATCCTGGAGAGAATTTCACAATAAGACTATATAATTTCTATAATTTCTTTGTACAATTTCTTTCACATCAGTATGGAACAAAACCCCCACGGTGATTGGCGTTAAATGGACAGCCTAACCGGTTCTTGTGCTACGATTCAATTCAGACGGAGTAGATATGTGGTTTCTATATGCCCAAGTCATCTTTCACGAAGCAGGAGCCACAGACCTTCTACGTTGTTCCATGCAGTTACACGATCTGTACCACGTGAATCGAAGAGTACGACCTGTGGCATTCGATGAAGACTACTTAACCCCTGATAAGCTAAAGGTAAGAAAGGGAGAATTCAACCATATATTCGACCTGGGCATGGAATAGCCCATGGATACCACCACTGAAGATGGTGACGTCTAATGTTCATTCGATGGATACCAGAGGAATGACTGATTTTGTATAGTACCTAAAACGTACGACTTACAAGCGATAATATTCGAAGTGAACAGTTTTTGAAGATCGATTTAAACAAGGCGTACAGCTGGATGTCAATGGAAGCAGTCGGCACTCCAAAAATGACCTTTATTACACCATTCAGACAGTTCGAGTTTCTGTTCTTCCGTTTTTGTTTTCGTAATGGGCACAGTCACCACATGTTTTGTGAATGACATCGTCCATGGCCGTGGATTCGCCCACGTCTACATCGACAACCGCTTCATCAGGATTTCAGCCGGGCCAATTATGTTGCCAGTCGTCGAAATACGAAGCGATCCTTCGCAATGTAGCCTAACTTGTCTGCTCTTAAGCTCAATACTCTGGGGTTACGTTAGAATGAGGTGAATAAGAAAGCTAAGGAGAAGAGATCAGTCATGCGTAGTCTGTCAAAAGTACGAACTTATGCATGACATAGGACGTTCGTGAGATTTTCTTCTAGCCTAAGACACTGGTTTCAATAGCCATCCCTATAAATAAAAAGATGGACTTTTACCGGAATCCAACGGGTACATTCATCTTTTCCCATGTGTAGACCCTTCAATGTGGTAGTCAGAATCATTACCTATCAGATGTTCTGTGTTTCTGCTAAGAGATTTATCGCAAACTTTGAATGTTTACCATCTTTTGTGACAACTAACCACGAGCAGCGACTTGAGCGACGACCGTTTTCTGCCCTAACTGTACCATCCAGCTAAAACTATTGCCGTATGACATCTTATCATCTTATGGCGAATACTGTGCTAAAATACACCAACAATTAGTTGGCTGATATTAATATGACCATTAATTCCTTTCTCGCTTGTTCTGGTTTACCCTGTGTATCCCTCTTTATACCTTCAGTTTTATGCTACCTAGTATTATTGAGTAGTGTAGTTCATGTTTCATTATAATGCCGCTTCATCCACACCTTTGACCGTTCATTCTGTTCAGTCGTACCTTGTTCACCACTTAATGACCATAGATGTTAGTTAATTCCCAATTCATGATGGTATTCCAACTTTTTTCGTCGTTCTCTGGCGTTCTATCTCGCTTTGAATATTTATCTATCTTGTGCCTTTACCTCATCGTGGGAAGCAATGCACGTCCTTCGTATCCCCTTCTGATTGCTGGGGGGTGAGGTTAAAAGTTATCCCCGCGTGTTAACGTACTTGTTATGGAATATACCATTCTTTGCACAAATTCGAGGATTTTCTGCATACCGTATGTGAATTTTACCTATTCTTTGCAGTTTCTAAAACGCCCGCCACTGAATCACATTTAATGCCGTTTATTCATGTGCAAAGTATTGGTTCCACCCCCACCTTACGGTTTTTAGGTACATTTATTTATGAATTATGACGCTCACA